AACTTCGATAAATGTCACAGAACCTGGATTCTTATCTTTTAACATGTGAAACCAGCTGGGCAAAGCTTCATAACTGTCATCAGGAGTACCCCTAGCTAGATCTTGGGCATGCTCTTGACACCTCCAAGCCTTTGAATATGAAATCATAACACCATGATCTTTTCTAGCCTTCTCAATAATCTGTTTTGGTTTCAGCCCAGTTTTTCCTCCTTCATAATGATTGCTGACCATACTTCCCAACAGTTTCGCAGTAGCTTGCCGATGTTTAACACTTCTCAGAGAAGTGTCACATGTATGTTTAGATACATAATGACGCACAACAAACATCTGAGATCCTTTCACTGATCTTGCACGAAAACACCAGCTACATTTTTCTTCCACACAAGTAAGCATATAACGTTTCCTGTCTGAATATTCTGTGCGGAACTCAAAGCTTTGACTAACTGCAAGCGACTTCAACTTCGTGCTCATTTCCTTTTTGTCCTTAAAAAACTTCCCGCAGAACAATTCATCAGTGTCATCACATTGATTTGTAACACAAGTTGGAGACGAGATCTCTGAAAAAGAATGTGACTCTTCTCCCACATTTTGTTGACCGCGTCTGCTAGAAAAAGATGATAATTTGGACCTTTCAGATCCATCTACAGCAGGACCCATCAAGTTCAAACCTCTCTAAAAGAAAAAAAAAAGAGTTAAAAATGGAATTTATAACTGATTATAAGATATTGATTATACTCCGAAAGTTATATGTACCTTATTACTAATAAAACCAGTTGAAGGAGATACATAATGATTATGTCGTATTCCTGATAATTCATCAACTCTCTGAATATTGTTCCATTCAGTCTCAGGGAGAAATTGTGTTCCACGCTACAAAATTAGATACAGATCTTCTTTCTTAAACAATTTATAATACCTTATAATTATGAGTATTAAGATTAAACAGAGTTGAAAAGTACCTCAAATGCACTACTACTTCGAGCAATAGGCGAATTGCGATTACTGGACAATTCATCACGTGTCTGAGTCAGGTTTGGCATAATCAATGGTGATAGTTGTGTTCCTCCAGCATTAGGCAAATCATGGGTAATTAAAACTTCATTCCATGTTTCCTTCTGAAAACATAAAAACATAAAGCTAGTAAATGAAAACTTGTAAAATAGTTTTATAAAGCCTTCTAAATATGATTATGTTGTATTTCTGATAATTCATCAACTCTCTGAAATATTGTTACATGGGAGAAAAATGCATTCAGTCTCAAGGAGAAAAATGTGTTCCACGCTACAAAATTAGATAAAGATCTACTTTCTTAAACAATTTATAATACCTTATAAGTATGAGTATTAAGATAAAACAGTGTTGAAAGTACCTCAAATGCACTACTACTTCGAACAATAGGCGAATTGCGATTACTGGACAATTCATCACGTGTCTGAGTCAGGTTTGGCATAATCAATGGTGATAGTTGTGTTCCTCCAGCATTTGGCAAATCATGGGTAATTAAAACTTCATTCCGTGTTTCCTTCTGAGACATTAAAACATAAAAGTTAGTAAATGAATCTTGTAAAATAGTTTTATAAAGCCTTCTAAATATGTGTACTTGCCTTTACAGTTAAACAAAGATGAAGACCTTCATTTTGTTGTAGTTTCTTCAGGTACGTCGAAACATGTCGATCGTTCCTGATAAATACCGGAGGAATATCTCTACTTCCAAAATTAACTTTTGAACAAGATGCATAACTAAGCTTCACATTGTTGGACTCAATTTCAAAATCTTCTAGCAAATAACCAACTAAATCATTGAACCTAATGTCTTTAGGAATCATACTAATGGAAGATCCTATTTCATCATCGGTTATGAAATCCCAGTGATTTCCATTTACGAGTTTCCATTCTCCACAAACAGCACAAATCTCAATCATAGTACCCTGAAAACATAAAAAAATTCGTCTAATNTGGACTCAATTTCAAAATCTTCTAGCAAATAACCAACTAAATCATTGAACCTAATGTCTTTAGGAATCATACTAATGGAAGATCCTATTTCATCATCGGTTATGAAATCCCAGTGATTTCCATTTACGAGTTTCCATTCTCCACAAACAGCACAAATCTCAATCATAGTACCCTGAAAACATAAAAAAATTCGTCTAATTTCAAGATAAAGAAACGTTGTGTTCATCTAAATTCAATATTTATAAAGCCTTATAAATAAGAGATTTATAAAATTCATGAAAAATAATTCGTCTCCTTTCCAGAAACTGGTCGATAACAGCACTAAAAACAAAGTTATACACAAGCTCTTCGATGAGGTTAAGAAATCAAGCTAAAGAAACGTTGTGTTCATCTAAATATAATTTTATAAAGCCTTATAAATAAGAGATTTATAAAATTCATGAAATAATATTCATCTCCTTCCCAGAAACTGATCCAGAACATCACTAAAACACACAGTTATCCATATGCTCTTCGACGAGATTAAGAAATCAAGGTAAAGAAACGTTGTACCTTTGCCGCCGTTTCTAGATCGTTCGTCCCAACGCTATTCATCTTCGATTGATGTAATCTAAGTATCGATTTAGCCGGAGTCGTTGAATAACACAGGGGGATCGCCGGAATCGTTGAATCTCGCCGGAATCGTTGAATCTCCACGAAATCGTTGAATCTCCACGAAATCGTTGAATCTCCCCGAAATCGTTGAATCTCGCCGGAATCGTTGAATCTCGCCGGATAAGGGATCTCGCCGGAGTCCTTGAATCTCCCCGAAATCTGAATCTCTCGTCGGCGATGAAAGAATAGGTTTAGGTTTATGTTTGAATAATGAAGGGTAGTATAGTCTTTGTGGTATCAAAATTTGGAGTGTAAAGTTGGTTAATGTAAAAGTGAAATGTGGTATCATCAAAGTGCTAGTTTTAGCAATTTCCCAATTTTTTTAACTTCTGTAACTCTAAATACTCTCTTTTAATGGCTCTCTAAATACTCTTAATACACTAAAAATATTACATTTTACTATACTAAGAATTTTTTTTTCTTTTTTCTTAATATTTACTTTGGTTTTATTTTAATTTTCCTTATATTTGTACAATCCAATATACACATAAGAAAAACACTTGACCAAATCTAATTTTTTGTTAAAGATAATTTAAAATACACAAGTGAATTCTTTCCCATCCAAAATTAATAATGTTGGAACTTTGATTTTTTTAATTAATTTACAGATTTATTAATTTACAGAAAATTTTATTTTTAGATTTCTATATTTTAAAATATTTTATGTATAAATACAGAGAATACTTGACTTTACAGTATATATGTATTTGATTAAATTTTATTGGTACAAAACTTATGTTGTTCTTATTCGATTATATGGTATATACCGCAAATGTGAATGCATTTTAAACGTAAAATGAAAAAACAATATCAAGGTACTCATAAATATTAAGAAAAAAATAAAGACAAACTTCACTATAAATAAGAAAAAAATTATGCAATATACTGAATATATTTATATAAAACTTATAAACACTAACTACTAATTTATCTTTATGTTGGGATCATATATTTACAAATAATTTTCGAAAAAGTTATTATTTTTTTCGAACTATGTCATATTTTACATTGGTACGACTCGAGATCGGTAAAATTTATTAATATACTGTGTTTATTACTTTATTGAGTACTAATTTATAGAATTTTACTGAATAAATTGAAAATGAGCCAATCGACAGAAGCTCCTAAAGCTCCTAGAGTCCCATGGACGCATCACCGCCGGTCTCCTGAGATCCGGATCTTTTTCACCGCCGAGTTTTATGGATGCCTCACCGCCTGTGTCCATACCATGGGGTTTTTTCTGGCTGATACTGATGAACTACACTCCTCCAACTTTGATTTATTTCTCTTCTCCATCTACGATCCATGGGGTCTTACAAATACTTTTCAAACAAACTATTATTTTATTTTATCGAACTGTGTCATATTTTATTTTATTTTATTTGTACTCCATCGTCTGCCCCTGCAGCCGCCGTCAGAAAGTCTTCATACACGACGGCGAGCTCTTCATGACTTGAACTCCGAAATGACTCTGTTGTGTTGACCAAAAAATAAAACATATCATTATTTATTATATTTTACAATACTTTGTCTTTGTCTTTTTTTTTCTTTTTTTTTAAACATAAATAAATATCAATTGCGTTTCATATATTGTTTGTTTCTAGGTACGAGCCAATTTTACACTCTTTATTATTGGATTATCAATATGGAAAATTGGTAAATGAGGACATTCAAAACTTGGATTTGTAGATTTTCTTTTGTCCCATTAAAATTTTATTTATTGTTAATATGAGAGTATACCCTTAGATTAATTAAAATTTTGTTATTAATATAATATTTATAAGTAAAAGAAGAAAAAGTAAAATACAAAAGGGGAAACACACGTTAACCTAATTTTTACCCTCTTCTACATTAAAAGAAAGTTCTCTCCCGAAATGACTCTGTTGTGTTGACCAAAAAATAAAACATATCTGATATTTTACTGTACTTTGTCTTTTTTCTTTTTTCTTTTAAACATAAATATCAATTGTGTTTCATATATTGTTTGTTTCTAGGTACGAGAGCCAATTTTACACTCTTTATTATTGGATTATCAATATGGAAAATTGGTAAATGAGGAGATTTGTCACAATAAGATTTTCTTTTGTCCCATTAAAATCTTATTTATTATTAATATGAGAGTATACCCTTAGATTAATTAAAATTTTGCTATTCATATAATATTTATAAGTAAAAGAAGAAAAAGTAAAATACAAAAGGGGAAACACAAGTTAACCTGATTTTTACCCTCTTCTACATTAAAAGAAAGTTCTCTCTTTCTTCTTACCCTCAATCTTTCATCAAGACGAAGAAGAAGAGCTTTTTTTTTCGTGTGTTCTTCTATATCTTTTTGATGTAATATATTCAATCTCTGATCGATCTGTTTTTATTTTCGTCGGACTCTGATCTTTAAACGACGAGTTTTTGTTAGAGAGAGTTATAGTAAGAGACACATTTTGAGTTTAGTTTTCGTTAAGAGACACATTGTGGTTTTGAGGCACTTTTTTTTTGACAGCTGTCTTTTTTTAGACAGAAATGACCCTATTTTTTTTGTGAAAGAGAAAATACTTCTAGTTACGATGGAACTTGTTCTTTTATTTGGTTAAGTTAAGCCATTAATTAATATTAGGTATATTTATTTGTGGGATTGATTATAAGCCACATGATTTTAAAATACATATCTTAATCATTCAATAGTTATAGTTATTCTCTACCTTATCTTCTTCACAACCACTTTTTCTAATCCACCATCAGATCTTTGCTATTCTTTCTTTCCACCATCTACGACCACCTTCTTCCCTAACTCTACACATATCATTTCACAACTCACCAGCCACACAAATCCACTTTGGTTACATCCACAGTCTCTTCCTCCACAAAAATCTCTACCATAACCTCCGTCTCATCCACAGTCTCCTCTGCCATCAACCATCTCACAACCCACCAGCCACCTAACTCCATCGATTGCATCCACTGTCTCCTCTCCCACACCTCCATATCTCCCATTTTCCACGTTTTCCACCTCCACCGTATCTACCACCACCATATCCACCACCACCTCCATCGTATCCATCCACCGTCTATGCATCCATCACTACCGTATCCACCACCCTTGTATCCGCCGTCGATGTATCCAGCACACCAATGAATTTTTTTCATGATTTTTGTGAAACCTTTTTCTTTTACGATTAGTTTTTTTCCAGATCTGTATCTTTATATGGATATGGATGACTTTATGTGGATGTTGTTGTTTGTATTTAAAAGATTCTGCTTAGATTTATTGGATGGATGCAGTTGCATATTGGTGGGAATATCATGGACAAGAGTTTGTGGATAGGTTGATTGTGGATGAAAGCTTGTGGACAGGTGCATTATGGATTCTTAGTGGATGGACGTGTCGTTTATGGTTGCATCATAGATGAGTTATTTCTCAGAAACCCGTAAAATATCTCAATTTTCATAGATTAACATTGAAACTATTAAACGAGAAAACTATAACTCCTAAAAATTCCACATATGATGTTTACAAATTTTGTCGGAGTTAGTTGTAGAGTGTGGACAAGCAATAGATAGACATGCGAATTGTGGAGAGGATGTTCATAAAAGTCGTGGACATGAAAGCCATGGATGGGTAATCAGATAAAAGAAAGTATTGTTTTAACAAATCACAGGAAAAAAAATCTGAAGAAACTGAAGTTGAAATTAACAACAACAAATCCATGCTTTAATTGTGTGATTCCAAATGAACACCTTTCTACTGACCACAACAAGCCTGACCACAATTTTTATTCCCGTTTCCCTTTGATCACAACTTGATTGACCACAACTCAGAAATTGAAAACGAAGCAAAACGGCAGAAGCAAAAACTAAGTTTCCATGTAGGAGAATCCATTACTGATTAGAAAATGCGGGCAGCCCCAATTTATAGATCGAGAAGTAGAGACAAAATTTATGCTTAAGAAGTCAATTCATTCTTCTCCTTTACAAGAACTTACAAGTCAAACCCAAGCTTTCTTCTTCACTTTCTCTGTTTTATATACTTTATCTTCTAAACCCAGATTCGATATATCCTTGGTTGCTTTCAAATCTTCCACATTCTAGTGTCCAATTCATCATCTATTTTTTCTTTGTCTTCCAGATCTTGATCCTCGATGGAAGAAAAAAAAAATTGTCTACAAATAATTGAAAGTAACGTTTGTTAAGATGATTGGGTAACACAAGATGAGCAAAAACTCTAAAAGTTTAATTTTTTTATTGTAATAGATAAAGATCAAAACCGAGAAAGAGTGGATCTTTCACTTGGGAGAAAACGATGTTGTGTTTGGTTCGCCAATTGTTACCGAAATTCATGGTCGAGATTCATTCCAAAGATATGAACTAATGTTTTTATTTTCTCAAAGCTCTATTTTTTATTTAGAATTTCTGAATTATAACTGATAAAGAGAGAAAGAAGAAAAGGTAACTAGAGGTAGAGCAAAAAATGCAACAAGAGAGAAACATGATAAAAAGGTTATAATGGACATTCATCAAGGTAAATGTGTGTGGTAAGTGGGAAGTGACCTCTTGTGTTATTACAAACTCAAAATGTGTCTATGAGAGTAATATTTTCTTAAACTTTTGGCTAAAGTCGTACATGTGCTTCCACACCAAATACTTGGACTTAAATGTTCTTGCTGTAATCCTTTGGGCCTCTTATGTATAAGCCCATTCTCACATGTAATTTTGGCCCGTTTTGGCCAATATCAATGAAAAGAGACCCAAAAAAAAAACTGTGCTCTTAATCTATACTATTATATAAGAAGTAAATTCGCTGAGGTGTCATGTTCTCCATAAATTTAGATAATTTTGTTTATTTATCATATTTATATTATTATATATAATTTATTTATAAATAAAACGAATTTATATCAATACATCATATTTTAGTAATAAGATAATTCTTGTGAATTATGTTGTTATCTAGAAATATATTTTTATATATAAAACTTAAAAATATAATTCTTATGTATTATGTTGTTATGTTGAAAATATATTTTTCTATTATAAAACTTCAAATTAAGATATAAAATTATTTTATTAATAATTAAATTTATATTTTAGAAAATAAGTTAATTCTTATGTATTATGTTGTTATCTTGAAAATATATTTTTCTATTATAAAATTTAAATTAACATGTTAAAAATATATACTATTATTTAAGAAGTGAATTTGATATTTGCTGATTTGTCATATTTTTCATGATTTCAAGTAATTTTGACAATTTATCATAATTTCTATAATTTTATATATAATTTATTATAGATTTAAAACAAATTTATATTAATTCTATCAGATTCTTAAAAAATAAGATATTTCTTATGTATTAAGTTGTTGTCATGAAAATATATTTTTGTATAATAAATTTAAAAATAAGATATAAATAGTTGTAGTTATTCTATAATTGAAATAAATTTACACTAATAATATTATACCTTTAGAAAATAAGGTAATACTTATGTGTTATGTTGTTATCTTGAAAATATACTTTTATATTATATAACTTAAAAGTAAAATAACAAAATTATTGATTATTAATTAAATATAAATCATCATTCAATAAAAATTATTTAAGAAGTGAATTTGCTGATTGATTAAGTTCTCCATGATTTTAGGTAATTTTAATTATATTTTTTTCTATTATAAAATTTAAAATTAAGATATAAAATTACAATTAAATATAAATTAAGTAAAAATTTGTATAAATATCATAATTAAATATAAATTAAGCTAAATAATTATAGAAATATATTGTTTTAAATATTTATGATGTTTGAGTTTTTTCATTAATAATTATTTGATGTTTGATTTGTACCTTTTGAAAACATAAATAATAACTTATTATACTGATTTTTAAACTAATGAAACATCAACTAATAAATATTTATAAGAGAATTATGCCCGCAAGTGCGGGCAACACATCTAGTTAATTGTATATACAGTAGAATCTTTATAAATTAATACTTGATAAATTTAATAATCTCTATAAATTAATAAATTTTAATATTTCCAATTTGGACCGGTTTAAAATTTGACACAAATCAATAAAATAATAAGATTACAATTTTTTTAGAAACTTCTATATAAATATATGTCTCATTATAAATTAATTATTTATATGTATATATATTTATATAAATAAAAAACATATCCCTATACTGATTATTTTATATTCACAATAGAATTACGTTTATATTTTCTTAACACTTAATATATTTTTGATGAGATTTAGTAATATTATCTCTAAAACCACATTTAAACTCTATACAATATATATTACATACCAAATGATATAATAAAATTAATATAAATGATAAATTTCGAAAACATAATAATTAATGTATAAGTATTAAAATCAAATATTTTTCTTATTTTAGAATAAATATATCTTAATAAATAAAAAACTTTCATAAATTATTATTTCTATAAATTAATAAAATTATAAAGTTTTAATATTATTAATTTATAGAGGTTTTACTGTATTGTGATTTACTTTGGTGGGAAGATTTTTCCTTCATCAAAGAGATCTAGTAATCAATTATTTTAAACTGTGCTCTAAAATGTATACGCATGAAAGTGACAGTCCACCGACGTAGGATATAATATGATTAGTTAGTTGGAAGAATATTCATATAAACTAGGATAAGACCCGCGCATTGCGCGGGATGAAGCTATTATTTTTATTATGTTTTTAAAAATGAAACAATAGTTTGGTTTCATTCGGATTAGAGGTGTTCAATCCGGATATCAGGTTTCGGTTCGGCTCGATTTTTTGGTATTTCGATCATTAAAATATAACTACTATTCTAAATCTATATGTACTTCAGTTTGATTTGGTTTATATACTATCGGTTTTCAGTTTATTCAACTTTATACCAAAAACATAATTATTTAGTTTGAGATCATATTATATATTATACAAATATATAATATGATCATATTTAGAGTCATATTGTCACAGAGTCATTTATTAAAAAATATTATATATTTAAATAAAAGAATAAAAAACAAAAAAAGGCTTATATCATCTAATAAAATGATCAAATCTTGAATTAATATCAAAACACTAAATTTTGAAAATAAAAATAAAAAACAAAACAGAAGCATGAAAGAAAAGTTTTTATATTCTTCCATATTTAGTGTTCATCAAACCAATATGTCTTCGATTGAACACAACTCTGTTTGTTTAAAGATAAAAAAAATTGTAAATAATTTCAACTAATTGTTGTCCATCAAATTTATAATCTTTACTTCAATTTAGTTACTGTTAAAAAAGAAAAAGATCAAAATAAGAAGTCTTAGTTGTAATAAATTGTTAGCTATTTACAAATTATAATTATAGTTCAACTCATGAAACAAATAGATATTCATGCGTCGTTATAAATATATACATATTTACATGTTTCAGTTTAATCGATTATAAATCAAACCATATCTAAATACTATGGTTTTTATAAAATCACATCCATTCGGTTTGTATGGTATATACCAAAAATAGCCATATTATCGATTGTTAATATCTTTTAAAAATATAAAATTNAGTTCAACTCATGAAACAAATAGATATTCATGCGTCGTTATAAATATATACATATTTACATGTTTCAGTTTAATCGATTATAAATCAAACCATATCTAAATACTATGGTTTTTATAAAATCACATCCATTCGGTTTGTATGGTATATACCAAAAATAGCCATATTATCGATTGTTAATATCTTTTAAAAATATAAAATTTAAAAAAGAACTAAGATATTTAAATCATTGATAACAAAAAATTTAATAAGTTTATAATTTATAAATTTTCTTGAAAATTTATTGAAAATTTTGAAATTAAAATATTTATGTAATGTTATATGGTATATAGTTTAATTTGTATATATATATTTGTTTTATTATTGAATGATACTTTTTACTTATATGGTTTTAAAATCATGTATATCTTTTTATAATAAAATGTTAAACTATTGATCATTAATTTTTAACATAATAATTTTAATAGTTTAGTTATTTATTTTCGTTTCTTAAAATTCAAAATATAACCTATACGAAAAAATCTAAAGTTTAATTTTATAGCTAATTTGATTGTTTAATTTATTTTAATAATATAAAATTAAAGAAAAATGATGGAGGATATATAAACTGTTATCAAATATTTATTAATAGAATCATTAAGTGTCATATATATATATATATATATATATATATATATATTAGTCATTTATGGTAATTCCGTAGGTTTTATTTATGGAAATAAAGTAAAATAGTAATTATATCTTAGGGAACAATCATTAAGTGTCATATATATAGTAGTCATTTATGGTAATTCCGTAGGTTTTATTTATGGAAAGAAAATAGCATATCATATCATTATATCATATAGTTTGACTAACTAATGTATCTAGCAACCTATAAAAATCCAATGTGGACTTACTTATTTTTCAATTGAATCTAATTGACTACCTAATTGAATGACACCTATGCATTGGGGCCTCTTTTAATTAATACANTATTTATGGAAAGAAAATAGCATATCATATCATTATATCATATAGTTTGACTAACTAATGTATCTAGCAACCTATAAAAATCCAATGTGGACTTACTTATTTTTCAATTGAATCTAATTGACTACCTAATTGAATGACACCTATGCATTGGGGCCTCTTTTAATTAATACAAAATTGAGGTTACATCTTTTCAAATGTTTCTCAATTAATATATAGGGGATTAAGCAAAAAAAAGAAAAGAATATTCATAAAGAAAATTGTAGCGATTCTTTCTAACTCTCTTTGTTTTCTTTTTCTTATAATATAATATATTTACTAGTTTTTCTTTCTTTGTTTTCTTTTTCTTTGTAGAGATTTTTTTTATAATATATCTATTTACTACTGTATAGTTGTTTTCTCATCATACAAGTAAGTAGTAGGTAACGAGCCAAAAAATACAAACTACAAAAATATACTACTATCTACCTCCGCCACCACCCCTCTAATTTGTCTCCAATTCATACACAGACATTTCTCACTAATACCACCCCACAAATGTTTATTTAGTTTTAAAATGTCGTGAGCTGCACCTTTAATATAGTCACTCTTTCTAAATATAATCTTTACATAGATATTTATCAACCTAAATACATTAAAAAAATGCTTTCTCTCTTTCTTGCCTTTACTCTTTTTAATTGGGTTTTAGGTTCTTCTTTCTTCTTCAAGTGGGTTCCAACAGTCGTGATCACCACATATGGATAATGAGACCTGTTTACCAGCCTCTTTACTTGGAACATACTGGGTGCTGAATGGGAAAGCTAAAGCGGATGTTGCTTTAGATGGATCCAGCTTCAGACAAAGATATTGCCATTTTGCTCGTTAAGCTGTTCATCATAACTTCTAGTTGGTTTAGACAATTGGATTAACTTGCAATTTAAGCGCAAATAGTACACCATAGGAATCAATATTCAAACAAAAGTCAACCAAAGTTTTTTTAACCTTCATGACCATATTAGTTTTCTAAGGACAATGGCCATGATAAAAACATGTCTGCAAATCCTAATGCCGATTACTCCATAACCATTCATATCACACGAACTTATCTTGGAACCCCTAAACCCGGATAAGTGTCAGGCCACAACAGAGCAGCCACCAGTCTGATGGAGCATAGCATCGATCTCATCACCATCCTCCATATCAAGCTGTGTAGTACAAAAGATTCAGCATATCAGAAAAGTGGAAACTTTCAAAATAGCCTAGTTAGCAGATGGAATGTTTTATACCTCATCGGGAGTCTGCTCAGCACGAAGACGACGGCCATCAAACAAGAAGGCAATGGAGTTCATGTCCACTGATTGTCTGTCACAGTAAGCATTCATCAGCTTCTTCAGCTGAGTGCTTCTCTTGATCCTAAAGAACACCTCATTCCCATCCTATAAACATAAAAACACAATTAGAGAGAAAAGAAAACAAAGTGATTCTGGTTCTGAACATATACATTGCCAATAAAATTCAGAGACAAAAAACTATGAATGTAATCTAAACAAACCGTAAAGTGAAACACATACCACCAAACATCAACACAAACCAAAACTCATCATGTTCACAATGAAAGTTGCCATATACTTAAAAAAAAAAGGATTTAGCTTTATTCCCAAATTATGACCAAATTTTTAAAAAGATTTCAACTTTACCCTTCTGAAACCGTAAAAACCTTCAGAAAGCAAAAAAAAACAACATCAAACAACTTATACTTAAAGGTTTCAAAACATTTAATACACAGTTCGCAAAACAAGACATATACTCTGCTCAAGTCTAAAAAAAACATCAATGGGGTTTCGGATCTAACCCAAACAAAAGAACAGAACTCTCTAAGACAAAACCCTAGTAGAACTAACCCCTAGACTACCAAAAAACCAGAAAGGAGCAAACTTGGGGGATAAAACCGTAAACGCACATACACAACACCTTAAAAATCAGAAACCCTTAAGACAAAACACATGCAAGAGGAAAAAAAAAAGAAGAAAGAGAGGTGCTTTACCTGTCCTTTGACCTTGAGATTTATGTGAGCTCCTCCGTCTCCTGGCTTCTTGTCTTCCTCCTGAGTTGCAGACATCTTAAGATTCTCCCTTTCTTGTGAACAACCTCGTGAGAGAGAGAACAAAAACTCAGACGAAGGTGAAAGGTTATGAAGATCAAACAAGAGTGATGTCTGAGAGAATTATATAATTAAACAAAAATTGATTAAAACTCCCAAAAATTGCTTCGCCGCGCATTTGTACTTGGCCGCATAGGATTCCTCTTTTTTTGCGTAAAGTAGGGCATTTATCGGACGGTTGATATTCTCTGTGTTGTCATTTTAATCCAACGGCTGATACTGCGTTTAAATACATCGGCCCAATAATCAGTAAAAGCCCATCACACGTATTAGAGGAAACCCTCTATATGACGTAGAAGGTTTTGAATCTGTAATTGATAGCAACATCTTCCCTTCGTGACTTCGTCTTTCCCTATCACACAGCCTACAGCGTTTCAGAACGCGAGAATTCTCAAACGCCACAGCGTTACAACTTGTCTCTGTTACGGTCTAAAAGCTTCAGCTCGTTTGCATAGACTTGTTGTTACTTTCAGCTTCACTAACCATTTAATTACCGGTTAGTTTTAAGTTAAATTCGCTTTCTTTTCGTTGCACACCAAGTGTTCGATTAAATTCCTCAGAGGGAATCAATTAACGTTTTTTTTTTCTTCTCTTTATACATTTCAGTAGCTGAATAACTAGTGTTGATTGAAATCAAGATGCAGCCGCAGAGATTAAAGAAGGTTATAACTGATAACCCAAAGAAGCTTGGTGAATTGATTGATCTTGTGAATCTTCCATCTACTCTACGTGACTTCACTGGTCAGTCTCAGAGTTCTCGTCTAGGTTGTTTCATGCGTGTCTGGTCTTATATCAAGACCAACAATCTTCAGGTCAGAACATGTGAATCATTTTAGTTACTTGATTATTTGTTTGTGTCATTGAGTGTGATTATTTGTTTCTTCTTTAAAGGATCCTAAGAACAAGAACGTGGTGAACTGTGATGAAAAGCTGAAGGGGATTTTGCTTGGGAAGCCGAGAGTGGAGCTGGTTGATCTTCCTTCTCTTATCAAGTTGCATTTCACCACCAAAGCACCGAACTCGAGTTCTCAAGAAAAAAGAATGCCATCCATCTTTAAGTATTGAATTACATTTTGATATATACATTTGGTTTTATGTTTTGAAGCTTTGCCTGTTGACAATCTTTAATAAGTAGTTACACAAAACATATATTGAGAAAGATGGCTCTTGTACAACATTCTGGAAGCAACCTGACTATTGGTAACTAGGCTCGGAACTGTAAGACAACAACCCAAGAATGTAGGATGTCAAAGAATTTGTTTTTTTGTGGTATGATTTGATATGTTGAGTCCCTAAGGATAAAGTTGCTTGCATTTGAACATGTGAAAAGGATTCAATTCTATCAGCCAAGTGGCTCATCTTCTAGTATTCCATTGCACTCTGAAAGCGTCCAAGACGGTTAAGAACACAGAACAGAAAGTTGATTGACTGAAAAAAACTGATTCGAGTAGTAGTTTTCTATTGTCGTTGGTTATTCATTGGATGAAAAAGGGTCTCCCGCTTTAATAGAAGCTTCTTTGAACATGATTTGCACGAGGGATAGTTAAAGTTCTTCTACACACACTCCAAGTCTCTTTTATGAGTTTCGAGACACCAACTAAGGTTTTACATGGTCTCTAATACAACCGGAAACTAACCAACAGGACAGGAACCGTAGAGTGACTTTTCAGTACTGAATAAAGGGCCTGGGTCACAATGAAGCCCATGAGGCCTGCCGAAGACGGTCAGACATAGAACATGAGTCAATGTCTGAAGCTCAGTGAACAGTGCTCACATCAGTACGTAAAGGAGTCACTTTATGTTTGTTGTTTACTTGATTCTTTATTGAGTTCCGTAAAGTGGGTCCCACTTTTCCCCGTTTCCCGACCTCCATAACTCTAGTTTGAGAGATATCTTTGTTTCCTACACACTCTCTCTCTCTCTGAGCTTCAGATCTAGAAGAGGAGAAGAAAAAACTCAGATAAAAACACTTGCATCAAAACAACTATCTCTCGGTAAACAAAACTATCTTCTAATGTTTCATTCCATTAGCTTGAATGTTGGATTCTTGTTTTAGTTTTTTTTTCCCACCAATGCAGTTCGATTTATCTGTCAACGCTTGAGATCTCCATCTTTTCTTGAGTTTCTTTTACTTGTGCTTAAACCCATTTTAGTGTACACTTCTTGGTTCTTGCTAGAAATGGTTTTTGAGCTTCTTAAGTTCAAGATTCTGTTTCTATGATTCAATGGGTTTTTTCTTTACAGAAAGTTGTTAGCGTGTTTGCAGATTTGGTTTCTTTAACTTTAGTCTCTGGTCAGTTCTTCACTCAAAAAATGTTATGTGTTTCACTTAACCTTTAGATTGCACAAGAATGGCAGTGACAGAAGCAGAGAACCCTCTTCTTGGAGAGATCACTTGTGGCACCTTACTGCAGAAGTTACAGGTAAATATCTCAGAACACACTTTAAAAGCATGGTTCCATGAACTCATTGGAGACAAACTTTTTCTTAACAGGAAATATGGGATGAAGTTGGTGAGAGTGATGATGAACGAGACAAACTGCTTCTCCAGATAGAGGAAGAGTGTCTTAATGTTTACAAGAAGAAAGTTGAGCTCGCCGCAAAATCTCGCGCTGAGCTTCTTCAGACCTTGTCTGATGCCAATGTTGAACTTTCCAATCTCACTACTGCTCTTGGGGACAAAAGCTACATTGGCATTGTAAGTGCTAAATCTGGAGAAAAGGGTAAGGTGATGAATAGAGTTATTTAGATGTGTGTTTGTTTTGTTTGCAGCCAGATAAGACTACAGGAACAATCAAAGAGCAGCTTTCTGCTATAGCACCTGCGCTTGAACAACTTTGGCAACAGAAAGAGGAAAGGGTCAGGGAGTTTTCTAATGTGCAATCACAGATTCAGAAGATTTGTGAAGAGATAGCTGGTGGTTTGAGCAATGGGCCTCATGTGGTTGATGAGTCTGACTTGTCCCTAAAGAGATTAGATGACTACAAGAGCAAACTCCAAGAGCTTCAGAAAGAGAAGGTAAATACTAATTTAGGATATGATGATTTTTGTGGGTTATATGCTTGTTTTTAGCACAGAACTGAGACTGGTTTGTGTTTTGACAGAGTGATAGGTTGAACAAGGTGCTTGAGTTTGTGAGCACAGTGCATGATCTATGTTCAGTGCTTGGTTTAGATTTCTTGAGCACTGTCACTGAAGTTCATCCGAGTTTAGATGAGGAAAATGGTGTTCAAACAAAGAGCATTAGCAATGAGACTCTTTCAAAGCTGGCTACAACTGTATTGACTCTTAAAGAGGACAAGAAGCAAAGACTTGAAAAGGTTAGTCATCAAAATCATGGCCTTCTATGCGCCTTTCCTGATTGTGGCTTTCAGTAATGAATCTTGGTTTTTGTGCAGCTTCAAGAGCTAGCTACTCAGCTAACTGAACTATGGAACCTGATGGATACTCCTGATGAAGAAAGGGAGCTTTTTGACCATGTTACCTGTAACATCTCAGCTTCGGTTCATGAAGTAACCGTCTCTGGTGCTCTTGCACTTGATCTGATCGAGCAGGCTGAGGTGGAAGTGGATAGGCTTGATAAACTGAAAGCTAGTAGGATGAAGGAAATTGCATTCAAGAAACAAACCGAGCTTGAGGAGATATACGCTCGTGCTCACATAGAGATAAAGCCTGAGGTTGTTCGTGAGAGGATCATGTCGTTGATTGATGCTGGAAACACTGAGCCTGCTGAGCTACTAGCTGAGATGGATAGTCAGATAGCAAAGGCCAAGGAAGAAGCGTTTAGTAGGAAAGAGATATTGGACCGAGTTGAGAAATGGATGGGAGCTTGTGAGGAAGAGAGCTGGCTTGAAGACTATAACCGGGTAAGTACATGAAGATGATCATATCAATGTCAACACATAACACTTTTTTCTTAAGATTTAAATGTTTCTTGTAAACAGGATCAGAACAGGTATAGTGCAAGCAGAGGTGCACATTTGAATCTCAAGAGAGCTGAAAAAGCTAGGATTCTTGTCGGAAAGATTACCGGTAACTTCCAAGAGTCTCTATCATCTTTTCACATTGGTTACTAACTGAGACTTAAATGAGTTAAAATATTTTGTTTGTGGAAGCAATGGTTGACACATTGGTTGCTAAAACCCGGGCATGGGAAGAGGATAAGAATATGTCCTTTGAGTATGATGGTGTCCCACTCCTAGCCATGTTAGATGAATACACAATGCTTAGGCAGGAACGAGAAGAAGAGAAGCGGAGACTGAAGGTGAGAGTTTCTCATACTTTCAAGTCTTCTGCTTGTGAAAACCTAACTGACCTAGTGGCCGTTTCCTATTTACAGGAACAGAAGAAGCAGCAAGAACAGCCACACACAGATCAAGACTCAGCATTTGGGTCTAAACCTAGCCCTGCAAGACCCGTGAGTGCCAAGAAACCAGTGGGAACCAGAGCTAACGGAGGAGGGATCAACGAAACGCCTGTTAGGCGGTTATCCATGAACTCAAGCAAGAACAAAAGAGACAGTCTCAACAAGGGGACTTCGCCTGTAGCCATCTCCAAAGAGGAAGCTGCATCATCTCCTCAAGTCTCTTGTCCTGACACAGTTCCAGCTTCTTCACCCTGACAATATTTCTTCTAGTCCTTTTGTTAGTTTGGTATTAGAGAATGAGTGATGTTTATGAAACAAACACTTTAAAAACAAGACAAAAGATACTGAGAGTAGAATGTTACCTAGATTTTAATGTCTCTGTATCATTGATTGACTCTTTTTTTTTCTTCTTCCAAAGCATTTGGGAGAATGACTATACACTGAAGTGACCGGTTTAAGTATTAGGGTTCTATTTGCAGTTATATAGTTTATATGGGGTCAAATTGTAATATAAACTATACCACCAAGTCATCACAGAACAGGGCCTGATCCATCCCATGATTCAAATGATGACTCTAACCACCACCATTTCCCTGAAGTGCCACAAAACCCTCTACCTCCCAGGTTTCATTACAATCCTAACAACAACTACACAGATGTTCAACCTCCAACACCGTCTTCTTACCCTTCCAATGATATCCATCCTCCTCCACGGGACCATCAAACTCCCCTTACCACCAAGACCTGCCGCCATCACAAAACCACCCATCTCATGTTATGCGAATTGGTATACGCAAAATATACATCATATTTTCACATTAGATCATTCATCATGTTTTGTGTAAACTATGATGTGCCAACTTAACTAAACAAATTAAATATGCTTTATATTTTTCTATCAATTCTAATGTAAACTTTTTGATGATATTGAAGTATAATAGTTTACTTAAATATGTAATTATAATGTTTAATAATATTTTTCGTGGTTTGAACTCCAAATTTAGTTTGACAAAACAATTTTACTTTTTAATTTTGAAATGATAATTGTAAGATAACTAAGATGTTGCTATCAGCTATCACTGTGTATTTTCTTTTAAGATATAAAAAATATCTAACTATTACAAAGTCTTTCAAATATAACAGATTTAAAACAAAAATAAAAATATTCATAAGTAAATGTTTAATAAATTATCATGTAGATATTTAAACTTTAATTTGTTTTGCAATCATCTTAAAATAAACTATAATGACATGGTAATCAAATTTTTACATTTTCATGTCTTCGACAAGTATTATTTTTTTCTAAATTTATAAAACCACATAAAATTTGTGTTAACAACCAAATCATATATTTAAATTATGTATCAAAATAACAAATAATGTTAGAAAAATTGGTGCTTAACACCAGCAAATCCCTAATATATATATAAGGTGTTTTTTTTTCAAATTAGGCGAAGATCAAACTTTATGTATGTACTACCAAACCCATGATTATTCTCTCTACAATACTCGAGCTCAAGTAGCGACTGGTTATAGTACTCGAACATAGACTAAATCAGAAAGCCATAAAGACCCGATTCATGGCTTTGTGTGATATTTATTTACAGATTTAGCAATTAGGCAATTAGCACACACACAAAAAGTGATCAAGCACGGAAGCAAACGTGTCGTGAGACTCATGTCATGTCTAAGAAAGATGAAGATAGAATAGAAGAGAGTGTTGTCAATACAAGGAATGACATGTCAACGGATGCATTGGTTTGCGCGTGCATGTCGGCCACGCACATCAATCATCATTCTTGTTAGCTCATTCTTTCTTTACTCTAAAACACAACACACGAGTACACATTGGCATTCAATCTAAAGAACAAGAAAAGAAAGCGAGATGGGTACGGCGACAGAGATAATGGAGAGAGATGCAATGGCTACGGTGGCTCCCTACGCTCCGGTCACTTTTCATCGCCGTGCTCGTGTTGACATGGATGATAGACTTCCTAAACCATGTAATTATAACGCCTTTTCTCTTACATCCTACCTAATTGTTGTCAACATACGAAAATCTTTATGTGCATATATATAGCAAAAGAAGTATGAGCTTCCGGCGGCAAATAAATATCAAAATAACCGGCCACATTTTGTCAAAAGGTGTCTTTAGTGTAGTGGTTAAACATCTTATCTCTCATGCGCCTGAGCCATGGTGCGAGTCCTATCGCCAACATTTCAGCCATTTTTCTATTTTTGGTTTCTAGCCTACGGAATCCTAGGACCGGCACTGATATTTATATATATATATATATATATAGATTGGCAACATGTGATATATATCATATATGGTTTGATTAAGTATGGATATGAGCAAAAACCATACCATCAAAATATGGTTGGATTATTTCATGAGTGTATTTATGCAACCTATGCACGCGGGAATATTTTGATGTTCATGATCTTGTAGATATAGTAACTAAATAATTGTAAATGATGCATGTATATGTAGCATTCTATGATGGTATGTAATCTACACATGCACGTGCATGTGTACGATAATTAGTTCAACACATATAACAAACATTAATGCATATATATGTGATGGTTGTTGGTTATGAGATGTTTAAATGAATATAATGATATTTATACTAATTATGGATGATAATGATATGCATAGATATGCCAAGAGCACTGCAAGCACCAGACAGAGAGCATCCATACGGAACCCCAGGACATAAGAATTACGGACTTAGTGTTCTTCAACAACATGTCGCTTTCTTCGATATAGATGATAATGGCATCATCTACCCTTGGGAGACCTACTCTGGTACATATACATATATCTTATTTAGATATAGAATGTTTACATTCATTATAGTATGTGTATGAAATGTGATTAGGGTTGCGAATGCTTGGTTTTAATATCATTGGGTCGCTTATCATAGCCGCTGTTATCAACCTGGCCCTTAGCTATGCTACTCTCCCGGTACCACCTCTCATTCTCCTCTAACATATATTGTGTAGATTTGATTAATTCTACTATTGACTCATATAATTACCAAGACCAATCAGCCTAGATCAATGTTGATTTTGTTAATGTTCGTCCTAGGGATGGTTACCTTCACCGTTCTTCCCTATCTACATACATAATATACACAAGTCAAAGCATGGAAGCGATTCAAGAACATATGACAATGAAGGGAGGTAGGTAACCTATATTGAAAATCAGGTCAGAAATGCACTAGTCTATATAACCACCTTATGCTTCGTAGGTTTATGCCGGTAAATCTTGAGTTGATATTCAGCAAATATGCGAAAACCTTGCCAGACAAATTCTTGGAGAGTTGTGGGACATGACAGAAGGACAACGCGACGCATGGGACATTTTCGGATGGTACAACTACAGCATGAGCCTAGCTCCTTTATTAACATGTACTTATAGTTTATTGAATGAATTAAGTATTAAGTAAAACGGTTGTAAAATATGATGTTTTGTGTATTAGGGTTGCAAGCAAAATAGAGTGGGGATTGTTGTACTTGCTAGCGAGGGATGAAGAAGGGTTTTTATCGAAAGAAGCAATTAGACGGTGTTTTGATGGCAGTTTGTTTGAGTACTGCGCCAAGATCTACGCCGGTATCAATGAAGACAAGACAGCTTACTACTAAAGGGTACATATGGTAAAGTGATTGATCGAGCTGCTTTAGGCTGATAATTGATCCATATGTGCTGTTTTGCTATGTCCAAATCTGTAAGGTAAAATAAAAAAGTTGCAGCTCTATAGAAAAGCTCCTCTATGTGGAATAATAATATGCATATTCTTTGTGTTTCTGTTTGTACCAGCACTAGCTGTCTTTTTTTTTCAGTCATTTACAATTTAAACGCAATTTTGCAGTGTTTGTTGTTACTTAAATATTGAGTTAATTCATGTCGTTTATAGCTTATTTGTAAAATGGTAAGATTTTATTTAGTTTGATTTATTTAAATTAAAATGTAAGGAAGTTGCATATGTTTCATATAATCTTTAGTAAATGTTTAAACAAGAAAAAAAAACAAGAAGAATTCTGTTTGTACATTTTATTCACTAATCATAATTATTTTAATTTTTCCTCTCAGGAATATAAGATCACCAATGAATAGTACATGTGTAGAACACATATGCATATTATCCAACTAAACTCTTCATAGAAAGTTGTTTGCATGTCTCAAAAGCGATCAAGGTTCTTAAAAAAAAAATTAGATAAGAGCATCCGCAATGGCGGATCCTTAGAAAAAAAGAAAAATGAGTATTTTGGATTATATAAGAATATTTCAGATTTTTTCTTTAAAAAAAAACTAACCACTCACGAACCGCCACGTAGGCAATGGAGCCCGCGAATAGTGTAAAGATCAATCGGGACATCATCTCTTATACCCATCCTCCTCATCACTCAATCTATCTTAGACGCTTTTTTCTTTTAATTTTATATGTTGAACGAAAAAACATAAAATTAAATTTGAAACGTGAATATTTTTTATTTGATTTATAGAATTTGATAAAATTATTTCAAAAATCAAAAAAACGTATTTTACGTATTTTCACGAAAATCATCAAAATATGATTAAAAACGATTTTAAAATATTTTTTTCGAATTTGAAAGCTATAGAATTTAAATATTTGCCCATGGGTTCACCAATCCATTGGGGGGGGGTTTGTTTAGTTTTGAACATCGGGGAGGATTTAATTTAGGAGTTTAGGTTTTGATCAAAAAAAGAATTATGAGATATGGGTATAAGAGATTTTCGTGGGTATAGGAGATTGAGTGATGAGAAGGATGGGTATTGAAGATGTTGTCCCGGATCAATCCTTACATAATGATTTTAAGGATAAAATCCTTAACTGTTCATGGGGTCCATTGATAATTAATATTTCCCTAAGGATTCCCCTCAAGGATATGCCATTGCGGATGCTCTAAGAATGTCAACAAAATATAGTAAATCCTTTTAGGAGCTAGATGCGTCTTCAATTCTTTTGCCTAGGTAGTGGTTACGCATTTTATAATGGATTATTGTTTAGACGGATGTTTTGAAAGCTTAGATCGTTTTTTAAAAACTTCACTTTGAAAAAATCGTTTAGAACTCAATTTGTTGATTAGGCGCCGCTTGATTTTTAGAATATTGGGTTGTTTGTAGGACTGGGTAAAAGAACAGAACCCGAAAATACAAACAGATGTCAACCTGATAAAAAGGAATCCGAACCGATTCGAACCCGATTTAAATTTCGAAATGGATCTTATTTTACGGTATTTCGGATTATAGATCTTACCTGAACCGAACCCAATTAAGACCGAACCCAAACTTAATTGGATATTCGAAAGAACCTGAAACTTTAAAATTCTAAAATAAACTTGTATCATACCCAATCTAAATTTCTAATATTTTTCCAAAACACATTAATATATTATTGAGTACCTACAATAATTAGTTAAGATATGAATAATTAATCAAATATTTAGTTTAATATATAGTGTTATTTGGTTAATATTAATGTTTATGATTGACATTACATTTGAAGTTAAGTTACGAATAAATTTGTTTTGAAGTTTAAATAATGATTTTTTAAAGTTTAAATAGTACTTTTTACGTTTATAGAATTGTTAGTTGTTAACTTTAACTTTTTATGTTTCATTATATATGATTTTTTGTTCATACAAGGTTTTGGTTTGTCATTAATTATGGTATGTTTTGTGTTGTCACATATAGTTTAGTGACAAATCTTATATGGTTGATAGACGAGTTTCATAATATTATTTTGAAGGAGAATAATATGGTTTGTAAAAGCTAAATACACAAATTTAATAAAACGATTGAAAATATATATAGTGAGTTTAATTGAGTATAAACTAGTAGTTTTACAACCGATAACCCAATTAGTATCTGAAACCGAAACTATTTAGGTTTCAACCGGATCTTGGACATATTACTAAATCCGAACCGAACCCGAGTAAAACCGACGAATTCGACCCAAATTTTTATACTATCTGAATGGAGCTGAAATTCATAAAGCCGAAAACCCAAATGAATCTGAACCGAAACCCGATCGGGATCCCGATTGTCCAATCCTAGTTGTTTGTCTCCTAGTCCAGAGATGCATACAGCCTCATGGTGTTGCTATTTCCCTTGTGTGCATAACAAGTCATAAATTGCCAACAACAACAAAAAAAATCTCTTTATTTAAGAAAAAAATGTCACACACGTGACACGCATGCAAATGTAAAACTTGACAAATTTACCCCTCAAAAGTCTGGGCTTTGAAACGGATCACTGTTTACGAACGAACGAATACGAATATACGATCCTTCATCATCATCATCATCAACAACATCCTTCTCTCTAGACGTCTTCAAGTCCAATCTGTAAGATCTCTGACTGGGAGTATTAGATTGTGTATCCTGTGATTAAACCTGTTTGGGATCATCAGGATTCAGGGATCAGGCATGGCTTTTGTTGTAACATCGCTAATATTCGCTGTGGTGGGAATAATGGCTTCGATTTTCACAAGAATCTGCTTCAACCATGGCCCCTCCACCAATCTGTATGTTTTTTTTTTAATTTCATCCGTCAATCCTGCTTTTAAGTAAATATCATTACTTCATCAATAACGATTATTACTCCCTTTATGCTGCTTCAAGTTTTTTTTCTTTCTGTCTACTTCTTGGTTTGGAGTAAAGATAAAGTCTTTATTATTATTTTTTGTTCTCATTTTTATGGAACAGGCTACATTTTACATTGGTTATTACAGCTACTGTCTGCTGTTGGATGATGTAAGTTTTGATGCACTCTTTTCTTCTTTTACTTGCTGTTAGAGAAAGTTCTACAACATGAAAACATCAATCTCTAGCTTCTTTTTTTTTCTCTTGTCTTGTTATCCTACGGCTCTTTGTTTGCGCAAATGTTTCTTTTAACAAGATCATTTCATCATCTTATATCATTGCATCGTTTCGCTTTCTTTATTCTGGGCAGGTGGGCAATCGTATACATTGCGCAGATGAAGCCTCTCATTGTTCCCATCCTAAGCGAGGTGGAGTAGACACCCCATCTCTACTCAAATCTCAACCAATGCACAAACTTGAGTGGCTGCTCTTTCTGTTATATCTTCTTCATACTCATCGTTTTTTCGCTTTTGTAATTCTTGTTAGTTGCGGTGTGGAACAACAATACCCTTTCCCCCTCTCTTTATTGTGAGTCTTTTGTCTCTCATTCAGTTCTGAAACATTCTATATTATACTCAAAAGGTTTGTATCATTGTTGATGAAATAAAAATCTTTGGAAGAAACAACCCCAGTTCGATAGTCCTGGTAGTCTAAATCTATCCCGACTGAAACAACTGCATTGTATAGGCTTTCTTCTGCACTACGGAACATAAACATCTCTCGAAGGTCGTTGATGTTGCTAATGTAACCTTAGAAGGATCCAAAAGGACTAGTATACTATTCAAAGTCCAAAATTCTCCGACATGACTGTGTTTGTCAGTCTTATTAATTATTCGTAATTATTATATGTATCGGATGGCCTAGCTTCTTATAGACTCTCAAGATGCTGCATATTAGTATTAGAATCTGAAGTCAGGTTCCATGTCTATTGCCCACTTAAACTTCTCTAGAACTCTAGAAAAGACTTATTGAACATATGTATAACTTTACATTCACTGTTTTTGTCCTTACTACCCTCACAAGTAAGATCAATTTTTTTCCTTCTCAATGTCTTACTTCATGGCGTTTGCACCAGGTCAAAAAAATATGTACCATTAACTTTTTTTAACACTATCAACCTCATGAGGGAGAGAGAGAAAAAAAAAATTAAATTTGGAGATGCGGGGTATCGATCCCCGTACCTCTCGCATGCTAAGCGAGCGCTCTACCATCTGAGCTACATCCCCATTATGCTTACCAGCAGAAGTTAATTAATCTTGAACGATAGCTCTTTGTTCCCCAAAATGAAATGAACATCGTCAAAGATGATCATCGCTGTCTGAGTTTTCTCGATGTCATTGTATTGGTGTGCGTGTTCTCTACAAGCTCAGGGCTTCCCATCCAACGGTAAAACCTAGAAACAGTTTACGTTATTACCGTGATCTTAGTTTGGTCATTACTACCCAGCTTGTTTCAAGAAGCGTGCGACATTGAACACACAATTTGTGATTTAGAAAAATATAGTCTGAGTTGCACACAAACTGTTTGATGAAATGTCTGCCTGAGAAAAATTCTTCTCTTCACCGTTGTGTCTGGATTCTTTCCCTAGTTGCTTGAATGTCGTTACCATTCATTTTCTATATTTTTTGTCTAACACATAAACTTTTGAATCTCTGTAGCAAAGCGAAGAGTTGATTACTATTCCATCTGATCTGTGATTAGAGCATTGAGACTTGAGAGTATGTCGTTTTGCTATCCATCATCACCAAGAAAACTGGCGATGACAGTTGCTTTCTTTGCCTCAGGGGCAGCTCTTTTCGCCGTGGGGATGCATCTGTCTTATCTCAACGTTGCTCCTCAGCAAGCTCGTACTAAAGCACGTAATGATTTTGTCAAAGAACGCCTCAGGCAGAAACAAGGCAAGTGATTGTCAGATTTCAGATCATGTCCCAAAAAAACATAAGCATGTTGTTGTCTTCTTACTTTCAGCCTTTCCAACTCTTTATCTGTACTCTTATCTCTTTGCTCTGTAGAGATTAAAAAGAAAGAAAAAGTAGTAAAAGTTTACAAAATCATTGTATTAATAGAGTAAACGGTACACCAAGTTTGTCTCTTGCAAAAGGCGTTTCACAAATCATTATCACATACGGTACATCAAAAAAAGGAGGAAATAATTAAAGATCTACAGAGGGAGAGAGAGAGAGGGAGAACCTAAGGCACAACAAAAGGGGAAACGTGAGAGATTAGATCTTCTCGGGTTTAGCTAAGGACTTGCAGAAAGAAGAGAAGGCTCCTCTGATTTCTTCATGGATGGGGAGAGCGAGGGAGAGTGTTAAAGGACGATGATGATCTTGAAACTCTCCGGTTTGGTGTCTCAAGGAGACAGAGTGAGCCAAAGCTGTTTGTCTTTTGTTGAGTCCCTCAAGGATAAAAGAGAAAGCACCAAAAGTGAGGCAACTCTGTAGAAGAGCCTGTGGAGCACCTGCGAAACAAGGATTGGTTAGCTCTTACATATGAGTAAGTAGTATTACTCTGAAACCCAACAAACTAGAAAACACTATAATGAGCATAATAATGGGTATGGATTACCAGGGAAACTAAGAGCAAGACCGGTGCAGCACCCAGCAACTCCGACATTAATGGCTACAACAAAGAAAGAAGGACGTTACAAGTGGATGTAAAACAAGGCACGTGTAATTATTTAAACTAGTCTCGCCGTCATCTTTCCCTCGCAATTGTTTCAAAAGGCAAACTACCAAACTGTGTACTCCAGACAAAACAGCAAAAGTCTCAACACAAGAAAAAATGCAAACGACTCAGTTTCACTGGAACAATAAAGCATATATATATGTATATACGCAAGAGATTCGTTTATAAAATGATGAGATACCTTTGCAGACTGTCGTGCATCAGCAAACGATCCTTTAAACCCTTTCTTCTTGAACAATCCTGAGCCTAAACCCCAAAAACTTATACACTGAGACAACAATCTCATCACATTGACACTCTCTTAACGAAAACAAGAGCTAACTAACTTGAGGAATGGTACAATAAGAGAAGTAAAAGAAGAGAGTGAAGAAAGAGTTGAAACCATATCCAAAGATAGACCCCATGACTGCGCCACCAGCTGCATCTCCGGCGAAACGGACAAGACAAACGGCGGGAGCAGGGATAGTCAATGTCTTTGAGGAATCTTTATTCGTCGCATCGTCAACGTATGAGTTCAGGTTTGGATTTGAGGAGTCGAGTTTATCTTCGGTGTCTACAGCATTTGAAGAAGCGTTGGCTGCCATAATAGCTAAAGCACTTGAAGAAGCTTGAAGGTAGCAGTTTCGGTTTCTACTGACTACTATCTACCTAATCTGGAAAATATCATTTTTCTTCAGTTCGTACAGAAGAAAAAAAAACAGATAATTCCCCCGGACGACGACGACGCTTGCTAGCTAGTTTTCCAAACGACAGCGTTTCATTCTCAGGGGATGTAATTGGGCTCATTAATATACAGGTCCAGTAATAGCCCACTAATGAGTACATTTTGCTAAATTTGTGAATGTAACCCTGAACTAGCTGTTGATCAAAAAAAAAAAAAAACCCTGAACCAGCTTTCCATGAGTATTTAGTCAAAATAACATAACTTATATCATAATCTTCAACTGAGGTATTTTACCCTAATCATCATCTTTAATAAAAAAAGTTATTTTCATTCAAAATTTGATTCTTAAAAAAAAAGATAAGTTGTTTTATATATTTTAAAACACACCATTTTGATTTAACAATGTTTTGAATGGAAAATTTATAATATTAACATTTAATTATCTTTCTCAACAAAACATTTAATTACTTAAAATTTAGTTTTAATTTTTCGTCAAAGGACTTTTATCCTAATCATTTTTGCTAAAAGTTTTTTTCATAATCAAAATTGGTGGATAAGTTTGTTTATTACCTTAAAAATCATGAAGAAAAACCACATAAACTCTCTACAAATAGGTTATAAACACAAAGGGAAATATCAAATGCAGCAAATTGTAATCATTTTAGAGCCGTTTGCACAATGTTTTCTCTCACCTACTAGAAAAAAAATCATAAGTTCTCATGAACAATTGGAATAAAAGTTCAAACCAAAGAAAAAAAAAACTTAACAATTAGAGTTACAAACAGAGTACACAACATCAAGAATCTTGAGAAGAACAACCAAAACAACCTATAGAATAGTGATCGAGAATCAAAGATCTCTAGTTATTTGTTATCAGAAACCAAATCATCTATCACCTCCACCAATCTTGTATCTTTGCAGCTACCAAATCTCATTTTTTATCTTTATGTAAGAATTAAACAGCAGAAACACTTTCTTTCTATGCTTCAATACCTGAAACGTTAACCAAATGCAACTATCCTCAAATCAAAAGTATCAGAAGATAACAACAAAGCTAAAGACTGTAAGATGGTCAATGAGTGTACATACCTCTATGTGTTTGTCTATTTCCCACTCTGTAGCTTCCAGAGTAACCTTCAGAGGCGTTACCAGATGGGTCTGAGCCTACTACATTGTCAATACCAAACCCATAAGAACGAGACAAGCCGTCTAACTCATTAGAAAACTGACGAGGCAATGGCTGCTGCCACGTTGAATCACTATAAACAGAGCTTCCTCTGTACGTTTCCCCTATAGAGCCATCAAAACCGTTTGTGTTGTTACCGGAGAATGACAACGAAGAAAGTCCAGAACCTGTCCCAAAGTTTCTCCCATAGCCATTAGTATCAGAAATCCCCCAGTTTCCTCTGTTGTTACCAACAGAAACATCCAAGTTCCAACCTGGACCAGAAGAATCAGTTCTGTTTCCCCACAAGTCTCTATTGCTAGGGTTGTAATTAGAGTCGCCTCTATTGAATCCAACAGGAGAATTGTAACGGTTAGGTGAAGCAGTGTTGAAGTATTGGTTGCTAGGGATACGGTTATAACCAAGAGTGTTTCCATCAAAGCTCAGTTCTTGATTCAAACCAAGACCAAAGGTAGAGAAAGCATTCCTACCGCTACCAATAGGACTAAACCTAGAACCAGCAGAGGCTAAATTGTTACTATAACCAGGTCCAGGAGCAAAACTATTGAAGTAGCTATTAGCAGGTGACCTATTAGCATAGTTATTACCAAACCCAATAAGCGGGCTTCGGTTAGCAGAAGCTGATGAGGAAGGCTCCTTTGGTACAGCTCTTTTGACCTCAACCATTTTGCCGTTTAGTTCATGAAATGTCTTGTGTAGAACCATATCAACAGACTCTTCCGATTCAAATGTGATGAAGCCAAAGCCTCTTGGCCTCTGTGTGTTATGATCATACATCACCACAACATCAGCAACTGTACCAAACTGATCAAAATAGTTCTTGAACTCGGCCTCGGTAATGGTAGATGGTAAACCTCCAACAAAGATCTTCTTTGTTCTTACGCTGCAACCATGGCTAGGTGAGACAAGGTGCATTGGACTTGCGTGTCGTCTCAGCACTTGCTGATCATCACGTGGAACAGCTTTCTTCGCCTCCACCTGAAACAAACACACCAAAAAAGGAAAGATTCTTCATTGATCTAACACTTAACATCAATGAAGGATCTTTTTCAAGATTACTAACCGTGCGGCCATCGATGATGTGTTTCTCCAGGGTCACTCTCTCTGCAACACAAGGATCAGCAAAGACGATGAAACCAAAGCCACGTGCACGTCCCGTGGAACGGTCTCTCATGATCACAGACTCAACCAAATCTCCATACTTGCTAAAATACTCTCCAAGTCTTTCCTCATCTGTGTCCCATGAAATCCCTCCAATGAAAAGCTTCCCTAGATCCGATACAGATTCCATCTTATGCTCCTGCAAAGAAAAAAAAAACAAACGCGATCAATCATGTTCTTTTGTTCTAAGAGGTCAAAATTCTGAGATTTATGATGAGTTGTTCACGTTTGGACAAAGATTGAGACAGACATGGTACTTTTGTCTGAAACATGGACATGTACAGAACTTTTGTCTGAAACATGGACATGTACTTTTGTCTGAAACAGAATCCAAATCCCGATTAAACCGGAATTGGTGGTATCTTCAAATCTGATAACGGATCAACAAAGGATCCAATAAAAGAAAACAATGGAGAAGGAAAGTCACCATTTTGGAGAGGACCCAGATGATGATAGAATGTGGAAAAAGCTTAAGATCTTGAAGAAGGGACAGGGACTAGAGAAACAGAGGATGTTTTGTTCATTCTATAAGTCATCCTCTCTTCTCTCTTTCTGTAGGGTTCTCCTCTTCTTATCAAGATGGCCTCCCTCTATCTATCTCCAGCTTATTAAAAGATCTTCCTTTTTATCTTCTGTAATGCTTTCTTTTATTTTATTTATTTTTCAAATCCATTAAGAAAGATTCTTTTTTCCTCAGGCAGATATGGTAAAAGAGAGAGAAGAATAACAGTCACATATAATAATAGGGGGAAGAGAAAGATTTGAGATTTGCATCTCTCTTTTGTGTAATAATCTTATTTTAGAGGAAGGAGGAGGGCATATCCAATGTTCTCCCTCATTTAACTCACTAGATGCACGGTCCCCGCGCAAGCGCGAAGGTTAGATACGTTGTTGATAATTTGTATAGTTTTGTGTAAAAGACTTTACTGTTTTTTCTTTAACATTTATTTATCTGGCTTATATAAAATGGTGATGAATGAAACATTAGAAGTCACACAACTTGATTAGTCTGATAAAAGAATAAACATCGAATTCATATGGGTTGATATTTTCATATTTTATCTTCGTAGTGATTTTATCGAACATTTCCTTTATTAGTGATTTTATCGAGCATTACTGTTATTAGTGCTTTCATGCAAAAAACTAATTTAATAGAGATCAAGACAAAAAAGGACATATGTTTATTATTGTAATTTTCTTTCTAAAATTATGTTATATATATATATTTATTTTTTTTAATTGTGATGTATATGAGATTTATGGCCGATCTGAATGGTTCAGGGTAAATATTTATTATTAAAAAATATGTTTTTATTTTATTTGATGATTATAACTGAATTGAAATGATATTGGAGGTTAGAACATGATAACATTTCTTATAAAAGTATCTAAGATGGTCTCATAAAGTCTCAAATCCTTAAGTCATTTTGCATCCCAACAACCAGCATAAAAAATCATTTTAAATCTCCTTAAGCTTTTAGGTATCCCGAAAAGCCCAAATTAAAAAAAAAAATTTTATGCCAGCACTGCGTTTCGAATCCGCGTACTCGTGGTACCAACTTCTCGTCACCAACTTACACCACTGGGTCATTTCCTCACTCGTCAATAACATTCAATCTTACAAAATGTTATACATTTTTTCCCCTAATAACATACACGGGACCCGCAAACTTGCTGACGTGGACACGCTAAAGAGCTTCAAAAGTATACTATTATTATATAGATTTTACTCCAATGTTTTCTCTTATTTTTCCTCTCTTTTTTTTAAACAATATCGATACTAGATTTGTCCTCTCGAAATGAATATTTTAAATATATTATATTATTATTTGACCAAATTATATTATATTATTATAATTCTAAAATTGTTTCTTATTTTATAAAACTTACAAAATTTACTTAAATATAATTTATTTGAACTAAATCTTCATTATACATAAGTGTATTTTCTAAAAAAGATATAATGATTTATATAAATTTATAACTGTCTAAATAAAGTATTAAAAATAAACACTGAATCATTTTAGATATAAAACAAAATTATATAAAAATTTAATGACTAATTTATAAATAAAATTAAAACATAACACTAAAATGATGCACTATTAAACAAAGGTTTTTTCTTATTTTTGATGTTTTCCCTGAAAAGAATAGATAACTGAAGAGGATTTAAAACTTTATAGACACATATAGCTCATTTCGCTTTTAAATTTATATTTTTCCACAAATACATATTGATCTCAGTAATTTATTTTATTTTTAAATAAAAAATCAACTAATAGTTTTTCACATTTATATGTGATTTATTTTAGAGGCACACAAAAATTTAGAATATTCGCAAATCTACTGAAGAGAAAAAAAATTATTTGAACAAGATGTTAAATGTCAAATGAAGTAAAACTTTTTTTATTTTTTAATGGTAACATCAACATTCAACAACAACAACTAAAATTACATAATAAGTAAACCCACTACTCCTTCATTAGAATGTTACCATTAAAATGTGTCAATATTCCTTGCTTTGGGAACAAACTAAGCTTTTGACATTTAACATGCACATATGCTTCACCTTAGACATGAAACTCTATTTAGAGAGTTTTTGAAATCTAGTAGTTGGGTGAATGTATCGTATAACCATGTTTTGCCAAAAAAAACGTATTCTTCAGTTATCATAATATATATGGAAGACATTCTGAATATTATAAACATATACATATTATTTAGGCTAAAAATCATCTTTAAGATTTATGTTAATTACTTTGTTGTACAAAAAAGGTTTATGTTACATATAACTTTATGTAACATAAACCTTAGTTGAATTAGCCTCATAATTCAACTTAGGAAATCGTTTTGTGATACATATAACTATGCAGATCGAATCATTCAAAATTATTTGTTCTTCGGCTGTCTTTAAAGTGTTTATAGGTTTGACCTTACACACATTAAAGCACGAACATTTCGACGAGCAAAACCACGTTCTACATGAGCTTTGGTAGTATTAGATAACGTGGGGACACTATTCTGAATAAAAAGTATTTGTGGTAACAAACATTAGTGCACATTGCTACCTGTAATAAGTTCTTCACGTTTTTAATAAATTTATCACTGTAATGAAACCCATTTGATATGTCTTGGTTGACATATAATGAATTGATGATTATACAAGACACGTGAATATAAAGATATTAGTTACTTGATTGGTATATAAATATTATAATATTGCAAAGAAGAATCATATTCCTTGCAACTACAAGAACACTTTTACTATTTTCAGCATTAATTTTGCTTGTTTTAATTTTCTGTTTTGTTGACATTTGATCTTTTTCAAAAAGGGAAAATGTTCTGCTATGTAGGTTTTTTTCATCCTCTCTTATGTACCCATATTATATTAAAAAGATTTCTATAAAACTAGCACGAAAGGATCTATAGACAGACAGCTTGTCATGTGTGGAGGCAAAAGTCCAACCAAATGTTCCTTTTGGGCATAATGATTGTTTATAAGTATCCAAGGTTGCATTATATATATTTACATCCAATAGTGAGCCAATAAAACAGCAATTAGTATCTAGCATTCGATGATAAATAGTCATTTTAGTAACACCCTAGAAGGTATTATCAGCTGCAACAAATCTAATGGTAGTTTTGAGTTTATCTCATAACAGTTTTTGCATGACTCTAAATCAATCTAGCAGTTTAAACTGTCTTTCTTCAAGCCATATTCAGTTATTCATAACTTACAAGTTCCAAATGGCTATTAAGTCGGGGGCAACAATAATAGTGTTATCTGGATCCACATCCAAATGCTCATGTTGTTACTTGTTACAAATCGGCCAATATTAATTGGATCCAGTTTAGATTAGTTGAGACTAACTTATGTTAATTTAATTATAGTGGCCAATAGAGAGCTCGACTTTAGATAAATGTTGATGTTTAACTTTGGGAAGCTACTTGGGAGATTAGGATGGCTCTTGTTCCGAAAGTGTATGATCCGACTATTGTGACAGTAAAGAGTAAATTTGGATCTAGTGTTATTAATTCCTGAATAAAATGTGTTTAATTTCCTTTTCTTCTTCCTAAAACTACAATATTTGTTATTTGCTGCCTTACTAAGAAAAAAATTGATTTACCAAAACAATGCCAAAATTAACAAATTTTTAATATTGTATGCTAAATTCGGGTTTATCGATTAGATTTTAAGATTTGATATTTAAGAAATGAAGTTAAAATATTTTGTCAGAGTTTGATATAGTATATTATTTTACTCCTTATATTTCAATAAGATGTATGTTTTAATATTTTCACACATATTAAAATATTTATGAATTTTAAATTATCAATGTATTATTTTTTATAATATACTATTCTCCATAATTTCCTACCAATAGAAATTTAATAAATGTTGTAAGTATACAATCTAATATTAACTAATGCACTAAAAATATGAAATATAGATTTTTTAGAAACAAGATTTTTTTCTAAAATATATATTATATTGAAACATAGGGAATACTATTTAATTAATGTTATTTTAGAGTATTTTTATTAGATGTTATTCTATCACAATTTTAATTGTTATTTAAGTAATTTGCTCTAAACATAAAATAATCATAAACAAAAAGGAAAAATAAATAAAAGTAAAAAAAAGGCAAAAACAATTGAATTGAAAGAGCTGTCTGAAGTCAATATCTTTCTGACAAAATCTTCACTAACACACAAAAGAGAAGAGAGAGAGAGAAAGAGAGAACGCAAAAAGCTCTCAAATCCGCCGTAGCTGAGCTTCCCTTCTCCTTCTTGCACTCTTCTCCACCCTCCAAATGAACCCTCAAGCTAACAATCACCGGAATGAACCCTCGGCGACGGTAGATCCCACGGCGAGACTCAATTCAGGCGGAGGAGGAGGAGGAGGAGCTAGGTACAAGCTGATGTCACCGGCTAAGCTTCCGATCTCGAGGTCTACTAACATCACGATTCCTCCTGGCTTGAGTCCGACGTCGTTTCTTGAATCTCCAGTTTTCATCTCCAACATCAAGGTTCAATCTCTAATTGTGGAAAGCTCTCCGCTTTTCTCATCACTTTATGTGTTTCGATTGAAAAAATTGCATTTTGAAAAATTAGGTTTAAAATTGGAATTGGATTCAGTTTAAAAGAGATAACTTTATTTGGTTTTCTTGTTGCTTCAGTTCGGATTAGGACCACTGTGTTCATGTTCCTAAGATTCTTGTAGTAGTGCTAAGTGGGGGAGGTTTGTTAGTTGGGTTCTGTAATTTTGGTGAAGATGCTTTCTGTTTGCTCACAAGGAAATAACATTGGACTTATTTTTCCATTTTTGTTTCTTACTCTTTTTTTTTTTTTAACAAGTGCTTTGATTTATTTTGCACTTAGGTTAAGTGGCTTTGGCTCAGATTCTGATTCTTCAGGTTACTAGAGTAGACTCTCTGCATTTGTGTCCGTCCACATTGTTCTCTCGAATCAAACCTTTCTTTATATCTCATCTTCCATTGGTGCTTACTTGCCTTTTAAAAAAAAATGTTATATCTTCTTTCTCTTCTTCACATTGTTGATCTTCCCTACCTGTGTTTGGTACTGCTCTTGTCTTTTTCTATTCTTTGTTAATTGTTTTTTTCCTGTTAGCTTTTTCAGGAACTCCATTTGCCTATATTTGTTGTGTCGGTGTGAGAGTAAAAGTATCATGTTCACCATCTAGAGCTTTAGCTTAATTTATGCTCAAATATCAAAGTGATGAATCACCAAATAGGATGTACAAATGGCAAATTCAAGTGTCTACTGTTTGACTGTAAATCCTTCTATGGCCTTTCTCTGCAACCTGAAGCAACTGGTTCACTTGCATGACCAATACTTGGTTATAAAATAAACTTTTCAACACCATTTTGCATCTATTAGTTACATCTTCTGACTGATCGAGATTTTTGTTATTTTTTAGACTATTGGGTTCCTTTAATTCAGTTTACATAAACATCTTTATTGATAATGGATCAGGTTCAGGTTTCACAAAATCCGATTTGTTTACCATTTTAGAAAGAATGAAATTTTGTTGTCTTTTGTTTATGTATTATGTATTCATGTCACTAATATGTGAACTTTCTTTAATTTTCAGCCTGAGCCTTCTCCTACTACTGGTTCGCTGTTCAAGCCCCGGCCAGTGCATGTTAGCTCAAGTTCTTATACAGGTAGGGCATTCCATCAGAACACCTACACCGAGCACAAGGCCAGTGAATTTGAATTCAGACCTCCTGCATCCAATATGGTATTGTCCACTTAAATGCTGTTTGTAATACTTATTATAGTATGTGTAGTTCAGAGATTGAATCTGAACTCCAAACACTGGCCGATTTTTGTTTCAAAAGGAAACTTATATCTATAATCTGAAACTTCTTATATTCCTTGTATACCGTTGCATGGTTACGTTGTCTAAATCTATTTATTGAATTCAAGGTGTATGCAGAGCTTGACAAGCATAAAAGGGATTCACCAGTACAATTTCAAGGTCAGGGCTATGGATCCTCACACTCACCTTCTTCCATCAGTGAGGCTGCAGCTTCCTCAAGTGAGCAAAACCGGCCAACCCCTCCTGTTCAGACGCCACCAACGAGCTCAGATATTCCGGCCGGATCTGATCAAGAAGAATCAGTCCAGACATCGCAAAATGAGTCCAGGGGAAGTGCGCCAACGGTGTTGGCTGATGATGGTTACAACTGGAGAAAGTATGGTCAAAAGCATGTCAAAGGGAGTGAATTCCCCCGGAGCTATTATAAATGCACACATCCTAACTGTGAAGTGAAGAAGCTATTTGAAACGTCTCATGATGGCCGTATCACGGATATTATTTACAAGAGTACACATGACCATCCTAAACCTCAACCTGGTCGCCGAAACTCTGGTGGTGTTGGTATGGCTGCACAAGAAGAAAGGATAGGTAAGTATCCTCCAATGACTCGCCAAGATGGTACCCTTATCTAAAACTTGAGAGAAGATTGCACGTACTCCCCTTGACTATATGTATAACTTCATCTGTTTCTTTATTTCTGAGTACAGAGAAGGGCGTCTACAACTTGTCTCAAGCCATTGAGCAAACTGGTAACACTGAAGTACCTTCTACAACTGACGATGGTGGAGACATTGCAGTGTCAAATAGGAATAAAGATGACCCGGAGGATGATGATCCATATACAAAACGGAGGTATTAGAATTTTAAGAAAGGATTCAGGTGCTTGCTTTGGAACTGTGATTTGACATGATGAAAACTTTCTTTTACCTTTTATGCAGGAGGTTGGATGGGACCATGGAAATAACTCCACTTGTGAAACCTATCCGTGAGCCTAGGGTTGTTGTTCAAACCCTGAGTGAGGTTGACATACTTGATGATGGTTATAGGTGGCGTAAATATGGGCAGAAAGTCGTTAGGGGAAACCCAAATCCCAGGTGCGTACAACCACATAACTTTTTATAAAATTACCTAGATGATAGCTAGAACAGTTTAGGTTTTGGCTTCAAGGGATAGTTGTTTGGTTTGTGTATAAAAGTGTTGATCCTCTTGGGAATGAGAGATAGTGATGTTAAGAGACTTCAGACTTAGCATGTGTGTGATGGAGAGATGATATGTTTGGTAATGTTCATCTGGCATTTTGCAGGAGCTATTACAAGTGCACAGCTCCTGGATGCCCAGTGAGAAAACACGTGGAGAGAGCATCACATGATCCAAAAGCTGTTATAACAACATACGAAGGCAAACACAATCACGATGTTCCCACTTCAAAGTCCAGCAGCAACCATGAAACCCAGCCTCGGTTCAGACCACCAGGTGATACAGACACCATAAGCCTCAATCTTGGTGTTGGAATCTCGTCTAATGGACCTAACCACGCTTCCAACGAGAACCAACAACTCGTCAACCAAACTTACCCAAATGGAGTCGGATTCAGGTTTGTTCATGCAGCTCCGATATCAACTTACTATGCTAGTATGAATCAGTATGGGCCTAGAGATACCCAGAGCGAGACTCAAAATGGTGACATTTCGTCCCTAAACCATTCATCTTACCCGTATCCGCATAACATAGGGAGAATACAATCAGGTCCTTAGAAGACAAAAAGGAAACAACACTCTTCTTAGGTTATAGGAATGGAATGAATGAGACATTGTCTCTATATGATTCCTCTTTCACTACAGAGAGCTGATCTTGATTAAAACTATCTCCCACCATATAATATTTGTATTTTGTCACCTGTTTTGAATGTGCTGTAAAAATTCAGAAGATGTTAATGCTTTTATCAGTATACTACTTCTATGAAAACTCTGTTCTTTTTCGTCTTCCTAAGACATGATAAGGTTACAATACTTCAGGCTGTTATATGATTTCTCCAGATTGAAAAAGTCATGATCATCCACATTTTCTGCACCTCTTCTTTTTTGCGCAATTTGTTAAAGACCAAACCTACGGACAAAGTCATTAACTTACTGCGTGGTCCTGAAGCAGACAAGTACAAAAGTTGCCCATTTAGTTTAGTATGATCTGTCCTTTGGTCAAGAAATGAATATGTAAGCTTGGTTGGACTGATTCTATCGTCATCGATCCTCGAGATGCATTCTTTGATGAAATCCAGACCATTCAATAAAGTCTATTCAAGCATCGGAACTGGACGGTGACGATCCGTCAGACATCCGACGTGGCATTTAACTGCATTTAAAATTTGGTTTTGCGTCCGAATCATTCTCGTTTCTCTCTCCCAAAAACGCTATATCACAAAGAAAAAGCTATTTGGTTCTGTTCCAAAAGGCGAAAGAACATAAGTAAACTCAGACTGCTGAGAGAGTGAGGTGAGATTCCATAGTCTTTGTGCTTTAGAATACTGTGGATGCTGCTATCTTTTGTCAACTGTATGTGTTGTGCTTTGTTTGGACTCGCATGTTCGTGTTCTTGTGTTTAGTATAACTGAGATGAGAAGTTAGGGTTTCTCATGTGCTTCTTTGATCTGTTAAGTTTGATGTTGTGAGAATTTACTGCCTTTTTTACCTATTTGGCGCTGTAAATTTACCTGGAAAATGCACAAATTTGACTGATTTCTAGAAATTCAAGTGAAAAAGAGATGGTCTTGTGTGTTTCTCTGAGTTCATGTGGTGTAAGCTTAGGAGATTTCTGTGGTTTCTTGGTTTAGGAATATGAGATAATTATGGAACACGCATGCTATCTAAACTAGATTTCTCTCAAGGTTTCTTGTTGGCTCTATGTTCTTTTTGTGCATACATTCCAAGTCAACGCGTTTTACATGTTCTTTATGAGATTGATCTACTGTTTTTGCCACTCTTTTGGTGTGGTTACAGTTCAGTAGATGTTGAATTTGTTTATAGGGAGCGATAGTTTCTGGTACAGCAGCAAATTTGATAGCCTAAACTTGATTTCTCAATGCAGCATTTGATATCACCAGGGAGTGTTTTTCGGTGGAAAAGATCTACTGAAGTGTTTTGACAATGGTGGAAGAAGAAGATACAAAGGCAACCGTTGAGCCAACAGCAACAAATACTAGCTCTATTGAAAAGTCATCAGAGGCTACGGAAGGAAAACAAGAGGAGGAGAATACTGGAGGTAAGGAAACACAAGTGGCTAAAAAGGGTGAGGAGAAGACTGAACCAGAGAAAATGGAGATAGATGCTGAGATAAAGAAAGATGAAGATAAAGAAGACACTGTAAAAATGGAAGAAGACGTTACTGTCACCAAAGATGAGGGACAAACAGAGGCTACCAAGATGGATGAAGATGCAAATGGACAGAAAGAGCAAACTGATGATGGTGTTTCTGATGGTGGTACAGTGGAAGATACTGTAATGAAGGAAAATGTGGAGTCTAAAGACGGTAACAATGCTAAAGATGACGAAAAGGAAGAGAGTAAAGAGACAAGTATTACTGAAGCAGATCAGAAGAAAGCTGAGAAAGAATCAGAAAAGGACGTAAAAAATGATGGTGAAAAGGCAAATGGAACAAAAGATGGGAATACAGGAGACATCACAGCGGAAGATATAAAGGTGGACACTGTTGATGAAAATAACAACGAGGAGAATGTGAAGGAGCAGAATAAGAAGGATTTGGATGAAGAAGGAAAAGAACAGGAAGATAAGGAAGATGAAGCGCCAAAGGAAAAGGTGGAAGATGAAGAAAGAAACGAGGATGCTAATGACAAACAAGTTGAGAGCAAACATGCAAAGGAAGATGAGAAAGAAGCTAGAAATGATGATAAGAAAGATGAAAAAGCTGAGAATGGTGATGATAGGGAAGAAGAGAAAGAAGAGAGCAAGAGTTCTAAAAAGCGGGTGAAAGGAAAGAGTTCTGGGGAGAAGGTTCGTCAGAAGACAAAGAAGGAAGAAGACAAAAAGGATGCAGAACCAAAGACTCCTTTCTCTGATCGCCCTGTGCGTGAGCGAAAATCTGTTGAGAGGCTTGTCGCAGTGATTGATAGTGACTCTTCCAAAGAATTCCATATCGAAAAGGTTTGCCAATACTTTATTAAGCTCAGTAAAAATTATTTGCTAGATGTGCTCATAATTATCTTTGGGATATTCCAGGGGCCAGGTTCATATCTCAAAGATATTCCCAACGGTATGTTCATGCTTAGCAAATCTTTATTTAAAATGTTTCTCGTTGAATTGAGCAATATTTAAAATACCTTTATTGGTTCTTTTGTGTTCATTAATCTGTAGTTGAAAAATAGATAACTTGAATGTTTCTGTGTAGTTGCTTACAAGATAACAAGGAAGAAGTCAGATGAATCTTTGAAGTTGCTGCACACAATTCTATTTGGTGGGAGGAGAGGGAGGGTGAGTGCCATATTTTTCCACTCCAATAGTCATAATTCTCAATTGTCAATCACATGCATACTCTTGTGGGTTATGTTAGTATCAAGCCTGATTCATTTCTTATTGTCTTAACAGGCTGCTCAAATTAAGACAAACATATTGGCCTTCTCAGGTTTTGTTTGGCATGGAAATGAGGTAAGCAACATCAAACGATGAAGATTATTTTTACCTACACCTTTGCTTTGTATATAATTGTGTTTTTGGTTTTTGCAGGAAAAGGCAAAAGATAAAATAAAAGAGAAGTTTGATAAATGTATCAAAGAAAAACTGTTGGAGTTTTGCGATATTTTTGACATACATGTTACCAAGGCTACAACAAAGGTTATTAATCTCTAAGTTCTTGTTCTTGAGATTCATTGTTTTCCTGCGTGAATAGTTAGGCTTCTAAAGATATCTTTATCTCTTGTTGACCAAATTGATCAGCCATTTCTGGTTGTAATCTAGTTATGATAATTCATTTGCATGTTTTCTCAAAACAGGAGGATATCGTCACAAAACTGTTTGAGTTTTTGGAGAAACCTCATGTGAAAGGGGACACTCTAGCTAAAGAGAAAGAGAATGTATGTGTTAAAAAGTTTGTTTATTTAGAATTTAGTTGTGCATCTAGCATTCTCTTAAAATACTCTGCTGAAACAGTCGAGTAAGGGAGCCAAACGCAAGAGAACTCCAAAGAAAAGCTCCCCTGCAGCTGGGAGTTCATCCTCCAAACGATCAGCAAAGGTACCAATACGTAGCTTAGATCGCAATATTACTTATCTTTAACTGTGACCAAGCAGGTCTGACTATATTATTTCCACTGCCTTTGAAGAGCCAACGAAAGTCTGAAGAAGGAACAAAGGCTGGCAAAAAGAGTTTAGCTCTTTCTGAAGACGAGTCTGAAGAGGAGAAAGAGGAAGAGGAGGAGAATGAAAATGGTATTCCCGATAAATCTGAGGATGAGGCACCTCAGCCTTCTGAAAGCGAGGAGAAAGATGAATCTGAGGAGCATTCTGAAGAGGAAACACCAAAGAAGAAACGCGGTTCTAAATTATCAGCTGAGAAGAAAGAATCAGCAGGGAGAGCCAGGAACAAGAAAGCGTCTGTCGCTGCAAAATCCAGCCCAACCGAGAAAGTTACACAGAAGCGATCATCAGTAAAACGAAAGAAGACAGATGATGACAATGATATAAGTCCAAAGGCGTCCTCTAAGAAGAAGTCTGAAAAAGTTACCAAGGTCTCCTCCACCCCTTTAAAGTCTGCATCAAAAGAGAAGCCAGGTTTGTATATTATCATCTTCTTTTCATCTTCCACTAAGATGATCCCTTAGGTAGAATACATCATGTGTGTGAGAGACTGAGAGTGTAGGGTACTCTGTTTGCAGAAGCTAGGCAAAGCCAATATTGCAGCTACTAATGTCTTTTGACACCATGTTTATCTGTGTTTGTGACCTATGCTAGAAGTAAAAGGGGCTGGAAAAGGGAAAGAAACCAAAGGGCCAAGCGATAAAGTGTTGAAAAATGCAATCGTTAAGATATTGAAAAAGGTGGACTTTAATACGGTGAGTTCATTTGTTAGCATTTGATATTCCACTCTGTATTTAAATATCTATTCAAACTGTGAAATTATATATGCATATTACATTACAAGAGCATTGTGGTTTTTCTGCAGGCTACATTCACGGATATCATCAAAGAACTTGGTATGAAAACAGTTTGGTTTCACTCAGTTAATATTACTTCACTTATTTTGGTTATGTATGTAAAAACACATTGGTTCACCTATATTTCAGCTAAGGAGTTCAAAGAGGATCTCACCCCAGGAAAGTTATCTATAAAGCGGATGATCCAAGGTGAGCTCACCAAATTAGCAGAAAAGGCTGAAGAAGAAAAGATAGAGGAGGAGAAAGAAGAGGATGCAGAGAAGGAGAAAGCAGGAGGGCCTGCCGGTGGTGAGGAGGTGAAAGCAGGAGGGTCTACTGGTAGTGAGAAGGTGGAAGCCTAAGACACTTTTCTGATCACATGGCACATACTGAGACTCTTTCTCCTAGCCTACTGTTGTTGTATGATACCTAGTTATCTGGCAGATGTATAAGTTAAAACTGTGGATGTGATCTTTTCTTGTTTTGTTTAGAGTCTGAATCATCTTTACTTTTGGTAAGATACAAGAGGAAGGAGCTGCAAAGCCTAAAGAAGATAGGTTGCTTGTATGTCTATACCATTTAACATAAAGCCTTCCTTGGGTTGTCGTTTGATTTGTAAGGGTCTCTCTTTCAGACATTGTCCAGTTTTCTTAGTACGGTAACGGTAGTACCCTTCACCTGGTAGCAGAGGAGGCCAATGAAGGGTAACATTCAACAGATGCCTTAAAAGAGCTTTTATATGGAGCTTTCTTTCTGATGCGAACAAATTTATTTTCTTGGGTTTATCCTTTGTAATCATTTAGTTTTTCGGATTAAGTTAAATTACGGTTCGACAAAAAAAAGGGGTTAAATTACGGTAGAAGTTTGAAAAGAAAGAAAAACTTAGTGAAGCAAAGAAAGATCACAACCTGAAACCATCTTCGAAGCATCAAGTCAACGAGGTATGTTTTTAGTTTCTTCCTTCTTTACTGAGTTGATCTACTTGAATCTGCAGCTAGCTTCTGTGCTTTTGACTTTTTTTTGGAGCTTGACTTTGGTATAGTTTTAAGTCAACGGATCGTTGTTAACTCTTCTTAGTCCGTTTCTGCTTTGATCCTAGTACTACTACTAATACTCTTTCTACTAATATCATTTGTTGAAAATGGTTTTTGTTGGATCCTACACGACCATCTCTTCATGTTTTGTCTCTTGGAGATACCACAGATTTGGAATTGAACTGAACTGAACAAGGTTTTCTCTTTTGATTCTTAGACATTGCAGTCTTGTAAACATGTCTGAGTGCCACGGTGAAGAAGCTGAACATGTGGATGGAGATGATGATACTTTGGGTGCAGATTTTGAGAATCTTATGTGTTCAGCTGATACAATTGTTGATGAAGCTCATGACAGAAAGGACATTCAGGGAATCTCATGGGATAAACTTAGTATCACCAGAGAAGATTACAGAAAAGGTAGGCTACAATCCTATAGAAACTATGAAAACATTCCAAACTCAGGCGAGGCAGCTGGAAAGGTTTGAGGAGTTACATTTCATGTTTATCTATTGATCCTTTAAATAAAAATTTGTCCTGCTTTTTACTCTCACTCTGATTCTACCCATTTGGGGAACCAGGACTGTTTAAATTCAGAGAAAGGAAGCTCTTTCTATATGTTCAAGAAGAATTTTAGATCCGTAACACCGGCTATTCTCCATTTTCAGGTTTGTTAAATGCTACCTCCATCTCTGAATGTAAAACATTGGTTGAATGTTTTTGTTTTTCCTTTTCGCAGCTGAGGGAGCTGGTGTGGGCTACATCTAATAATGATGTTTACGTGATGTCCAACAACTCTATCAGTCACTGGTCTACTTTAACAAGCAGTGGGGATAAAGTTCTTGATCTTTCCGGTCATGTGGCTCCATCTGAGGTGTGAGCTTTTCTCAAACCGTATCCAAATTCATTTTTAGCTTCTACTGACTTGTGTTTCTCTTTCTTTCTTGATTTTCAAAGCCTGTTTTTCTTGATATAACTTTTGTTCAGGAACATCCTGGAAGTTTGTTAGAAGGGTTTTCCAAGACACAAGTTAGCAGTTTTGCAGTAAAAGATGGGATGGTTGTTACTGGTGGGTTTTCTGGTGAACTCATTTGCAAGGTTAGTTCCTGGATATTCTACAATGGTTAGTTCTGATGAAGCTGCTTTGAAATCATATATTCATTTTTTTCTTCTGAATGCAGCATCTTAATAAGCCTGGTGTGAGCTTCTGCTACCGCTTAACTTGTGAAGAAAACGCCATAACTAATTGTGTTAATATACACAAGAACTCTAGGTATCACTTCGCCTTGCTATATTGAATGTTTTGGATCTTCCCAGTTTAGTAACCCATTCTAGAAAAAAGGAATGTCTTAATCAACTTTTGTATATAGTGGGGCACTTCATTTCATGGCCTCAAGTAACGACGGTGGAGTCAGAAACTTTGATATGGAAACTTATCAGCTTGTCCAACACTTCCACTACCCCTGGCCAGTGAATGTGAGCTTACTTCTCCTTTACCTTCTCGCGATTTGATTGTGTTGTTGTGATTGAATTTGAAATTATGGCAGCACACCTCGGTTAGTCCTGATGGGAAACTAGTAACAATCGTTGGAGATGAACCAGATGGTTTGTTGGTCGACTCAAACAACGGAGAGGTACTTCAACATTTTGTCAGCTTACTTACTTTGTCTGTTGCATCCGTGGAGTCTGAGACTATATGTCTATGAGTTTTTCAGACGGTGGGGAAGTTAATTGGTCACTTAGATTATTCATTTGCATCTGCTTGGCATCCTGATGGAGTGACCTTTGCCACGGGGAACCAGGACAAGACCTGCCGTGTATGGGACATAAGGAATCTATCTAAATCTGTAGCAATCTTAAAGGGTAACCTTGGAGCCATCCGCTCAATCAAGTTCACTTCTGATGGTCAGTACATGGCCATGGCTGAGGCGGCAGACTTTGTCCACGTTTACAAAACCAACACAGGATACATGAAAGAGCAAGAGATCGATTTTTTTGGTGAGATATCAGGAATCTCCTTTAGTCCTGACACTGAGTCTCTCTTCATTGGAATATATGACAGATCATATGGCAGTCTCATGGAGTTTGCTCGAGACAGGGTACATAATCTATTTGTTGTCTTGTCTTGGTTACGTTTCAGTTTCATATAATCATCATACAACTGGATGGAGATGGCATATCTTGTGTTTAAAAATTTGATTATTCTTCTTGTCCAGGTTTCTGGAAGTGCGTTGTGATCTCAGAGTTCTTGGAACATCTTCAATAGATTCTGCCTTGAAGGTTATATGATAGATTATAGAATCGTTGATCCAAATAAGAGATTACTCTTTTGTAGTTTATGACATATAACGTTTCTGTTAATGCAGTGTGCTAAAAACTGTTCTGCCTTGATTGTATCTTATATCGCATTATAACATTCTAACAAAATATATGAAGAAATGAGACTTATGTTTTCATTTCTTAAAACCAGAGGAAAATCTTATAGCTTAAAATCTTCTAAGACTCCGGCATCTATTGAGACATGAATAACAAAAAACAACCGTTAGCAGCAATACTAACTGTGTAAGGAAGCATGAAGTTTATCTTAATTACATGCTTAAAAACATAAGTCCAATCTTAACTTATCTTTTGGTTTACCAAAGCTTCTAGCAAAAACAAGTTAATAATATTTTCCCTTTATATAGTTTTGTAGTTCTTATAATTTTGCATTAATACTTATACTATATCTTATATCAAATTAGATTTAAATATTAACCCAAGCGATAAAGGTCTGGTAGTTAGACTATGATCTTTGAGAGAAGGGAGATTGCTATGCATCCGTATGAATCTTAGTAGACATGAGTCTAGTTCCACTGAGAATTTAATCGCTTTATTTTGGCCTTCTTGTTTGGTAGTTATGCTTTTTTTTTTTTCATCTTCTTGTTTTGGTTAGTAAGAACATGAACCGAATATTGGTTGATAAAAGTAACACTAATAAGAATCTATGAGGTGACACTATACTAAACGCTTTCTCCATCAAAACCCTAGTTTCGGAAACTTTGATGGGGTTTGAATAGACATGACATATTTATCTGATAGTGACGACAATAATAAAGTTAATTTATAGTGAGGAGGACATTCTAAGTTTTTAATAGACATGACATATTTATCATCCGAGTTGGTATTAAGATTTGGAGTAAAAAAATATGAAAATGAACAAAAATCAATATAATAAACATGCTATAAACACCATATTGTTTCATTATTTGTTTGTGTGTTACATTCAATTTGTGTTTGCATATACGTTCAATTCAAGGAATCATTATCTAAACCTAAAATTTGTGATAGTTTTAAATTCTTAGGTTTAGTGGTAATTTTGGAAAAACAAAACAAAAAATGATGGTAATATTTTGAATTGGCCATATAGGTAAATCAATAGTTTTAGTGAGGTGCCTTGGATTAAAGTGAAAACGAGTAGAAGCCTATGGTTAAGCATAATGTGGCCGAGTATATATAGAGACGTTACGTTACCTTTGTTTCTCATACCATCTTCATTAAGACCAAATAGAGATATCCTCCTTCTTACTTAAAACAGTAGTAACGTCAACAAAATATTTCTTAACCATTTAACCACTAAAATATGGATAATAATTCCGTGCGCCTCGAGAACTTGCTCTCCGTGCAAGTTTGCAACGCAGCGATGATGACGTCATCTACGACGAAAACAGCTTCGGTGCGGCCGCAGCGATGGCCTCGAGCAAACAAATGCTGACGTCAGCCCTCCATTCCATGGAGCACACCCAAGGAGTTCACGTAAAGATTGCCGATTTAGGCCTCGGAGACGGAGGCCACACGTTTTCCACGGCTGACACCGTAGTTGAGGTGTTAGGGCGGAAGCTGGCCGCGACTAAGGGCGGAACCGCGTTTCTAGTCTTTTTCTCCGACCTGCGCCTCTCTGATGAGTTCATCACGCGTTTTCGACAGTTTGAAAACAGAGTTACCGACTCGGGGAAGGAGTATTACGTCGCTGGCACTTCCCGCTCAGGTATATATTGGCCGCTGTTTCCGAAAGGAGAGCTCGATGTTGTTGTGACCACGAATGCCTTACAATGGCTCTCTCACGTATATATTATTTATTACAAAATGAAATATATACATAGAAATCTTTTTGAAACTTGATATAATAAAGAATCTATTAAATGTTAATGAACAGTATATTAAAGAGGCCCTATATAAAAAACAACAATTTGATAAAAGGGTATACCATTATATTTGATTATTTTGGATATGATAGGTACCGAGAAAGGTGATGGAGAAAGGAACAATGACATGGAATAAGGGAAGGGTGTGGATTGAAGGAGCAGAGAAAGAAGTTGTGGAGGCATACGCGGAGCAGGCAGACAATGACTTAGTCACGTTCTTGAAATATCGGAAAGAAGATATGGTAGTAGGAGGAATGTTGTTTATGTTAATGCCTGGTCGACCTTCTGGCTTAGAGAATCAAGTCACTGATGACTCTCCTTTCAAGCTCATTTTCACAACTTTGATGGATCAAGCATGGCAAGATCTAGTAGATGAGGTAATAAGGGTACACCTTGATGTCATAAATCTTTTTAATGCTCACTCTTTTTTTATTTGGTTATAATTATAAAAATAAGATTTTTTTGTCAGAAATTGTTTTTATTAATAATTAATTTTAAAGTGATTTAGTCAATTATAAGAATGCAATAAAATATTATGTCAACTACTTTTTAACAAAGTCAAAACTATTTTTAAAACTTCAAAAATAATTATATTTTAAAACAGCAAATCTCTTCTATAGAAAATATATGTATCAAGTTAACAAATCATTTTTTCATCTTAATTTGTTGGTGAGTTTGTAAAAGGGTTCAGTAAAAGAGGATATAAGAGATGCTTTCAACATTCCGTTGTATCTTAGAAACACTGATGAAGTCGCGGCTGCGATAGAAAGTTGTGGTGGTTTCAAGATAGAGAAGATGGAGACAATCAACATAGCTGACCCTATGAATGCTAGACAGCAGGAGTTTATGAGAGATCCGGATTCTTACGGTCGAGCCATGGCTAATTTGGTTCAATCTGGTCAAATAAAGCCAATGTTGGAGGCATATCTCGATCCTGACCTGACCAGCAAGCTTTTCAAACAGTATGCAATTCGAGCTGCTAATAACAAAGAATTTCTCACGAAGAATTCTTTCTATCATATGATCGCTGTTTCAGCGATTCGAGTTTGATGTTAGGCTTAATGCCTTAATGGTTCATATATAATATATAGCATGTCAAAGTTTATATATCTACGACTTCATCTTTGACGGATTTGCTAGCTGAAATAAGTGAGTTATTAGTAGACTATAAAACGATATTGTATTTCAGATAAATTATAGTGTTGTCCTTTACGTCATAACACGATGCATTGATGCAATCATGCAAAACTGCAAACAGAGAAGTGCGGAAGATGTAATAAACCAGCAGCACACTAATAAGATTCGTTTAATAGTTTTAACACACTCTAGAGTATCGTCGTGGCCTATTAGCTCAGTTGGTTAGAGCGTCGTGCTAATAACGCGAAGGTCACAGGTTCGAAACCTGTATAGGCCATATTTTTCTTTTTTCCGGCTCTTTCACCAAACGTTTCGTCAGAGTAGTGTTAAAATCCTATCACCTATGTCACATATTGAGAAAAAGTTGTATTTAAAAAATCAAGAGTGGAATAAACTCGGCCCACAAAGAGACGATCAAACCCATGAGACCTTATTAGTACGGCTGCGTTCCATCAACCGCAGATATTAGGGCTCCGATAATGTTTTCGTCTGTCGTATATAAATAATTAAATATGAACTCTTTCTTTTCAGGTTTTATTTCAACGAATAACTAAACGGCATAGTCGTAACTCGCCTCATTACTCTTTTTCTTCCATGATAGTTGTTAACTAGAATATTGTGTGACTAGTATTTACCCGCACTGTTGCGCGGATGGTTAATTTTGTTTATATACATTGCAAAATAAAATCAAATACTTTTTATTAGAAAAACAAATTACATTTACATATATGGTCAAAAGTTAAGAACTACATATAATAAATCAATTATAGTTAATGGTTATTTTGGAATTATATTGACAAAACAAATAATAATTTTTAACAACAAAACAAATATAATTTACCAAATTATACATAATTTACATAAATTAAGTAACTAAAAGAGTCATTTAAATAGCTTTAAAATCTGATTAGTTACACAATTACACATTATTTTTCTTTTAAGTGCTACTATCTTCATCTGAAAATCCAATAAAAACAAAATATATATTATTAAAGTTCACATGTTTTTTTGTAACACATTTAAAATTGACATGTATTCTACCACTATATAAAAGAAAAATGTATGGAGCAAATTGATTAACAAAACTAACATGTAAAAATGACAAAATCAATATAACACAGAAAATTGATAATTTGCATAAAGCCATAAATTATGGATAGTGGAACATATATACTGTAAATTGTAACAACTTACAGTTTTTTTTGTGTGACAACAACTTACAGTTATGATTAAATATCAATGGACATTCAACCTTGAACTTGTTACCAATATATCGTCTTCATCACATTTCTTAGTAGTAAGAAAATAACCTAATCTTTTTTATCCTGTAATAAATATAGCAAGCCAAAAACATGAAAAAAAAAAATCATTGAAAATTTACCACATATAACTGAAAAAAATAATATTAAAATGCTCACATTCACTGTCATTTTTTCTTCCTAAGAATAAACCATTCAAAAACAGAATAGAAAATATTCAATCTTTTTTTTTCAAAGAAAGAGAAAGTATTACCAGCTATCTTTAAAAGTCCTTTATAAAATAACCTTATTTATATACTTATTATTATTATCTCAAAATTGTTGTTGACGATGATTTGATGTTCTGTATGTTGCTGCATTCAAAATTTCTCTGAGATAATTTAGGGACTTTTTTTGCAGTTTAAATCCTAAGATTTTTCTTTTTTTGGTTAAAGTTTTTATTTTTTACATTTTTCTAATTGCTGGATTTTCCATTATTTTATTTAGTTAATTATTCTGATTTTCCATGTGTCATATATATTATTGGTCAAGTGACTTGTGCTTTAGTATATAAGGGATATAGCTTTTTTTTTTTTATAACACTGATAGTTCGAGCACATGGTGTCATAACATACAAAGAAAAAGCAAGAAAAGGATAAGTGTCAATAGACACCAAGAACGAAAAGAATAGGAAATCTCACCAAAGCCTTCTACACTTGAGCCTCCAAAGCAAGTAAATGATGAAGCCAAACTGGACCTCCTTGAGCGATATAAGAATGATGGCGCAAATCACGAGTGACACTCACCGCAATTGACGTTGCTGACTCATTGCGGACGGGACGAACGTGGTCTACACTCCAACAATCTATCCGAGTGAGTAAAAAGCGGATATTGTGGCGTATATGGCTGAAGATATTGTTGTTATCTGGATTTGTGATAACTCCATGAAGGCTTTCAGACGCTGTTTCGAAGATTATATTAGAGAAACGAAGATTATGCATACATTCCACCGCCCAAAAAAGAGCCCATAACTCTGCTTCAACTACTGTACGCATGCACGAGTATGATCGACGACTATGCATGATTGTAGATCCATGTTCATCACGTAAAATCCATGAAGCACCCGAAAGATGGCTCGAATTTAACCATGAGGATCCAACATTACATTTAAGAAATCCATGTGGTGGTTTTTTCCATCCTCTCTGATCCGTCTCATCAGCATCACTACTACCTTCATTCTTACATGAAAAGGTATCAAACCATGTGGATTCTTCTTCATAGGCTCGTTTTGCAATTAACGACGGTGGTAGAACTTTATTTTCAAAAATGAACGCATTCCTAGATTTCCAAATTTCCCATAGCAACCATGGGAATACATTCCTTGTATGAATATCCGTACTAGAGCTGGAACCCATCTTGATTAGATGTACAAAATTTAAAAAAGTAGAGTTTCGAGAAAAACCACCTAAGGGAGCGGGGAAATTCGATTGCTCCCAAGTATTACGGGCTTTATCACATGTAAAAAGAACATGACAGATACTCTCAGCACCATTACCACATACTGAGCATGTGGGGTCGACCGGTATACCCCTAGTGTTCAACCGTTGTTTGACCGCCAACGCACCAGACAAAGCACGCCACATAAAATGTTTTATTTTTGGTGGGGCTTTGATTTTCCATAATTTCCTCCATAACTGTTTTTCAATTGGTGTCAGAGAGTTTCCCTGTGGTTGATCAAAATCTGCTAAAGCCTCCAGTAATTTATACCCACTTCTCGTTGAGTAAGAACCATTTGGTGTGAAACCCCATTTAATTGAGTCATCCAATATAATTGAAGGTTTTAAAAGAAGTATCCGTTGCACATCCTGTGGGGTAAAGGTTTGATGGAGCAAATTAATATCCCATTGTCCTGATCCCTCAATAAACAAATCTGAAACTTTTAACGCTAAGTTTATGGAACTTCCGTCACGATACATTGGGGGTCTTGGAATTGTATCGATAATCCAATTTTCAGCCCATACATTAGTGTCTGCTCCATTACCAATATGCCGGTATAATCCTTTTGTAAGTAATTCTCTACCGTGCATGATACTTCGCCAAGCAAATGATGGTCGAGTCCCCATTCCACAATCCATGAAACTTCCATTTTTAAAATATTTACCTTTTAGAATCCGAGCAACCAAAGAATCCGGGTTATTCCAGATTCTCCACGCTTGTTTCCCCAGTAATGCCTGGTTAAAACGACCAATATCATGAAACCCAAGACCCCCTTGCTCTTTCGGTTTACATAACTTTTCCCATGAAACCCAGGGTATCTTTCTTTTTTTGTCCCCACTACTCCACCAAAACTCTATTATCGCGCTCGTAATCCGTTCACAAAGACCCTTCGGTAATCGGAAAACAGACATAGCATAA